TGTGGAATTCATCTTCCTAAGGAGTGACGACTTGTAAGAAGGAAGAATGCATGAGCAAGATATCTTATGCTTTGGCAAAGGTAGACTCACGCATATCATGTTGGGCGTTAAACCAGACATCTGTCACGCAGTGGGAGTAGTGAGATAGTACCATTTTGAACCTAGAGGAATACTAGATTATTGTTAAGCATGTACTCAAGTATCTTTGGAAAACGAGAGATTATATGCTGGTATATTCTAGTGGGAGTCTTGAAAAGCTGAGTTTTCAAAAATTCAGTTGTTTCAAGTGGATATTGACTCAAGAAAATCAACCTCGAGCTATGAGTTTTTCACTAAACTCAGATAGCATTAGAGGTGGATCTTGCAGACCCAGTTACTAAGAGTTTGCCTGAACTTGTGTTCGAGAGACATGTTACTTCTTTGGGTCTTAGGAGGATCCCAGACTTGCATTAAGCAAGTGAGAGTTATTGGTTTTATTGTGCTCTTGGAATAAGACGATGAAACAATAAAATCATTTTCTGAATTTCATAAATAAGGTTTTATTTATTTATTTTGCGCACTATTTACAAACATAAAGGTCCGGATCAAATTGTGGAGTATATGATCATATGGATACGTTCATGGAGGATATGATCATAGGATCTCACAATTGATGAATGAAGTCACAGCCGTTAAATAAAGCTGGGCACTTTATTCAGGCTGCAATATTTTATGAAATGATTTTGTCCGAATCATTGTAAAATATTGGTGTGAATTAACATTCACATTGAAAGGATCAAGGAGAGATTTGATTAAGGTTGTTTTTCTGTCATAAGGTATCAAATCTCCAGTTAACTATATTTATGTGATTGCTCTTAATCCTGAGTTTATTATAAATAGGTAATCAAATAGTTTTCATTCTTTGATTTACCAACGGGTGAGGTTCGATCTATTGACGGCCAATAACTCGGTATTTTGGGAGTGAGATTATTTGATTATCGGTATTTATGAGATAAACAATATGGAATTTATAGGATATGTCCCCTTGATATGTTTCGGTACTTGGATATTAAAGACACTGGCCAGTGCATGTAATCCATTAGAGAAACTATCATAGTCAAGGGAATAAATAATTGATTGAGTTATAGAAAACTTGTCAATCAATTATAGACATTCTACAAAGGGGCGATGCATATTCATGTTATAAGTGTTGTTAATCTTGGAGTTCAAGTTTGGGCTTTTAGTGGAGTAGCACCGAATTAGATAATCATTCGTTGATTATCAGGAGCCTTGATTAATAACAGATGGTAGATCCCCAGGCTAGCTTAAGACAAGGGACGAGTTGTATAATCAGATGATGATGGCTTATGGGCTACATAGTCTTGAGTTTATGAACTCAAGTTTGTGTCCGAAAGAGCAAGTGGGAGATTGTTGGGTTTAATATGCTTTTTTCACTTAAGCCCAATAGCTTTAGTGAGAGTGAGCCCAAAAGACTAATTTCAACCCATGAAGCTTAGGGTTAGTCTTGGATTGGGCAGAGTATATAAACTCTCTTTTCTCTCTAGTGCCTCCTAGGGTTACAAACATCAGAAACACAAAGAGGCAGACGTTCATCATCTGAACAGTTGCCCACACGACCACCTGATCCCCCTTGAGTCATAGCCTGGAAGATCAACCGTAGAGCGAAATTGCGACCGTTCGTGGTGCGTTGCTGCAGATCGTGAGGCTTGAGGAGGAGAACAGAACGTGAGAAATTGTCACGCTCGCCGCTTCATCTCAGGTAATCAAAGAGGTGTTCTTCATTCCTCATCACATCAGTACGATGCGCTTCCGCGTTTCTGATGATATACCTTCAATTACATCAGAAACAGGAGTGCAATCCAATTTTGCAAAACAGGAACATGACATTAAATTGGATTTGTATGCAGTCCAATTTGTTAAAACAGAAGACATGGATGTACAAGAACTACAACTACATATATTAGTTAAAAAACATCAAAAATGATAAACTTAAACATTCATCAACCCTGTGAAACATAATAGCTGGAACATGATTTGAGTATCATTATATTTGAAGACATGGATGTACAGTAGTGCATTACAAAATAAAGTAAACTGCCAGGAATTAAAAGAAAGGCCTCTAATACAATATGGCTAGAATTTACAAAAAAAAAAAAAATTGACATAATAAGGCCTCCAAATACATAATGGCCAGAATTTTCAAAAAAAGTCAGTCACATAATAATAAACCATTCTAAGTTGGCTCATGCACTACTCCCAGGTCATATACAGCAGCAGGTCATTTTCTTGAGGCAGGCCTTGGTGGCCTAAAACCAGGTGTGCTCATGAAGGCCAATAATCTGCTTCGTGTGCCACTGGTTGCTGCATTCATTGTTTCATTACTCAACAACTCATTTGCCTTTTGTGGATTTGATGCAGGTGGGCTGCTTCCTCCCAAGTTGCCTTCATGTGGCTGAGAACTACCAACTGCTGCAGTCCAGTTAACTGTCATGCATTGCAATAATCAACAATCATTTACCTGGCTTCTTCTCTTATTTTTCTCTGTATTTAAATATCAACAATCATGCAATTATCTTTTATAGAAAAATAAATAGTATAATTGTAATGCTACACTACTGAAGATATTGTTCGTAAATCGCATAACGCTATGTCTTATACAGACTAAGAGAATTAAAGCAGTTCATAGTGTTATAGGGATCGTAAAAGCTATTTGCAAGCGCCAAGAATCCCTTTTAACAAAGTGAGAAGCTTAGTTAGCATGAAAAAGATGAATAATCGTTAATAAGGTGGAAACTTCTGTTACAAACACAAACTTCTTTGCAATAAAATGCCAAGAAGGAGTATTTTACTTTGTGATGAAATTTAGTTTAATTACTTTGTGATGAACAAATGGATTACACTCCTGTTTCTGATGTAATGCACTTTTGTTTTGCAAAATTGGACTGCATAGAAAAGCAATGAAGTCATGTGCCTATTTTTCTCTGGTTAGGGACCAATAAGGGCCCTGTGCTTTTTGTCAAGGACTAAAAACGTCCTCGTGCATTTTGACATGGACCAAAATGGCCCTCGTGGTTTTGATAGGGACCAAAACGTCGTCGTCTCGTCTTCCACTGTGTCCCACATCCAAGCCGCGTCAGCAAACTAACGTGTCAACTGTGCACCGTTAGTTAGGCCGTTAGGTGGGAGTTAACAGAAGGATGAACGTGGCCTCTTTTTTGTTATTTCAGGAACCAATTTGTCCCTTTTTTATTGCTAGGGACTGAAAAGGGCTTCGTGGATATTGCCAGGGACTAAAAAGGGTATTTACTCTTTTTTTCCTATTACAAGATATTTATATTACCCTTACTTAAAATGTGGAATTACCTACACGACTTCTTCATCACACGAATCAAATGAGTTGACCCATATTTATATTGGGCTTTGTATATCTCATGTTACTCCAGAGCTTTGTCTTCTCTAGCGAGTTGCGTTGATAAAAAGTAGGTATTTGTATTTGTCATTTAACATGACACAACAAACTTTTCTACACATACAACATTTTGTGGGGCTCACATTTTTTGAAGAAAAAAAAAAATTACGGCAAGCAAAACGAATCTCTATAACATTACACAATTACTTCTCATACAACATAACTCTTATAAAACCTTAAAAAATAACACGAAAACTTGTTTTGTTATGTGTAACAACATTTTGCTGTTACGAATTGCGACCATCTAGGAGATGTTTGGTAAATTTTTTTTTTAAGATTTGCATAAAACTGAGAGTAATAATCTTATTTACTCATTTTTGATACAAGATTTTTAAAATTTTTATGAAAATCTGATTTTTCTGAGATTTTATTTTGTGTGTAAAATTTTCTGAAAATATCATCCAAAAATATTACCCAGGGGTGATATTCTAGGATTTTATGATAAGGTAAAATTCAACACAACCAAACATAGTATCAAGAAAATTAACTTAATATTTTTGAAAAGATTTTGATCTATCAAACAACTTTTTTGGTAATATTTTCGAAAAACTCATTTTTTAACCATATTCCTGAAAATTATGATTCTCGGGTAATTTTTTTTTTTCTGTACCAAAGATATATTATGTAACATAAATGATCGGTGAGTCTTGAGATATACCATAATTTTAAATTTGGACAACTTCTCCCTTATACTTCTGAAATATAAAAAAAATAATGCTAATATTACTAAAGTATAATTAAAAATTGTCCAATTAAAAATAACACGCACACTAAGATGAAGAAAACAAAATTCAAATTTGTTGCACTTGATTGAGCCTTATGGGCTTATGGCTTAGGAAATCCAAGTATTAAATGCGCCGGATACCATCTCGTGATGATATACCAGTGAAGTACTATATACCATATGAACAATTGGTGCTTCAGAATTATTATATTAAAAGAAGTAATAGATTTTAACAAATTATGGTTATTTTACAATATTAACATTTTATTTTTATATAATAAAATAAAGTAACCGTTTTTAAAAATGAGACAATTTTTGGTAACCCTTTTTTATTGTATCCTTTTCTTTCTTAAAATATGTGACTTAATTTTAAAACTCTCAAATTATCAATTATTTTTAATTTTTTACATTAAATTCTTTAAATTTTTAATTAGTTATATTCTTGAAATAATTTTTTTTCTGGAAAAACTCAAATACTTACAGTATCTACTTAATTATTTTCAAATTTTTTTATCAACCTCAGCAGCTTTACTTTTATTTCTTAAATCATAATATAGTACTTGAAGAATAAATAAATCCTTTTTTTTTTAAAGAATGAAACATATCATTCCTAATTTTAATTTAGAATTAATTAAATTTTCTTATAATTTATAAATTTATAAATTGTATCTGTTAAACATATAGCCATATCTTTTATAAATTTAAATAATGTATTAAAAATATTTTTAATTTAAATCAGCTGTGTTTTTTTTTAGTAAGAATAAAATAAAATTTGTAGATGCGACAAAAGGAGTGGGGAGAGAGTGAGAAGGGGTTTTCGCTTTCTGGGTGCAGAGAGAGAGAGAGAGAGAGAGAGAGGTTTCTTCTTTTTCGTTTTTGGCGCGGCGGAACCCTAGTGCGGTGGTGAGCGAGCCCTGTGGGGCGTGGGAACTGAGAGAGAGGATGAGTGGGAAGGGCGGTGGTGGCCACAACAATGACGGCGTTAAGGGGTTATCGGGGACGATTCCGGCGTCGTCGAGGAATATGGTGCAGAGTTTGAAGGAGATTGTGAGCAATTTCCCTGAAAACGAGATCTATGCTATGCTCAAAGACTGTAACATGGACCCCAACGAAGCTGTCAGTCGCCTTCTCTTCCAAGGTTCTCTCTCTCTCTCTCTCTCTCATGTTCGAGTTTTTTCTCTCTTTCGTTCAATCTCTCTGTGTTCTGTTCCATCGTTAACGTTTTTCTGTTTTGAAGTTCAACGCTTCTATCAGTTGGAGAAAAAAAAAACATTGTGATATGATTGTTCAGTGGGGGATTGTTGCTTTGCTTGCAATTCACGTGACATACACGTGAATGGGTGCAACATTATCAGATGTGTGTACGCACGCACTAGTTGGAACTTGGATGTTCAAAATTTTATTTCTAATCTTAGGTTTGTTAATTGTGTAGATCCTTTTCATGAGGTGAAGAGCAAGCGAGAAAAGAAAAAAGAGGTGTGTGTTTATGTAGGGAAATGTATATATTATTTCCGCTGTTCAGAATTGATTTTATGCTTGATAATCAATTCTGTTTCTTCCTTCTAGAGTGTGTTTCAATGCTAATTATAGAGGGTGCATATTTTTATGTTTCACCTCAATTAGCATGTACATGTGCCTAGGTTGATAAATTGACAGTAGGTGAATCTATGTGCTCCCTTTTTTTATTTTTGATATTTTGTTTGCGTTTCTCTATCCTTTTCTTTACCTGCTTGCTCTTATTGCTTCAGATTAAGGACCCAACAGATTTCAGGTCTCGTGCGAGTGGGACAAATAACTCATCTAGTCGTGGTGGTGGTGGTGGTGGTTGGGCTGGCACAGACCGTCACGGTGGACGTGGGGGCACCAACCAATTCAGCAGTAGTGGTATGCGGATGATGGGTGTTGGAACTGATATGCTTTTAGTCGAATTGTGCTCTGGACTTTATGAACTTATTTGCCACTTTTTTTTTTTTTTTATATTTATTTCTTCCATGTTTTTGGAGGTCAGATTTTGGTCTGCAGGGAAAACCTGTATACAAGAAGGAAAATGGAGCATCTGCTTATGGAGGTTCTACAGCTAGTGTGCTGGGAAATAATGCGAACAGGCGACCACCATCCCACAGGTCTACTTTCCTTCGTATTTATGCACAACAAAGTTTACATGATTGTAGTGGAAAAGATGTGTCACTCTAGAATATTCTAGAGTCTTTTACTTGTTTCTAGCTACTAGTATCTTTGAGTAGTGTGATGCCTCTTCGGTTACTGTGTATTTTATTTATTACTTCATCTCCTTAACTACCTTGTAATCTGTATAAAAAGAACCCTTTGGGGTGTCAATCAATATATGAAAAAATACATTTCAGTCTTATATTACAATATGGTATCAAGAGCAGGTTATCCTGTGGTCTTCTTGTAAACCTCCGTCGTCTTTTTTCCATTTTTTTTCACTGTTTCGCTTTTACAATTCAGAAACCATATCTGGACCCCTCCAATCACGAAACCAAGACCACCACTGAACTCAGAAGCCATTTTCGAGTCGACCCACGTCAGCCCCGTCGCCGGACCGTCAGCCACGCGCCGCCACCGCAGATCTGCCTCTCCGGCGCGTGTGAGCCACGCGCCACCCTGCCAGCTTCTGTTTGTCACGCGGCTTCCACAGAACAGCTCGCCTGGCTTCCCTCTTCCTGTTCTGAGGGTTTAAATCATGATTGGAGCACTTTTCTTGCTAAGTCCAGTTGTTTCCTCTTCGTTATCAAAGACAATAGGCGTGACCTGTTGCTCTCCTTCTTTTTAGAACGATGGAAGTTGGAAATAATGAGGATGAGAATAAGCATTCTGAAAAATTATCCGGTAATGTTTCCGGTGTCTCTCCTCTTTCCTGTTCTTCATCTTCTGGAGACAACCCAGCTATACAGATTACTAACCACCGTTTAAACGGTAAGAATTATGTGCAATGGCATCAATCTGTCAAGCTGTTTATCCAAGCAAAAGGGAAAATGGGGTATCTTGATGGAAAAAAGGAAAAACCCGAAGCTGATGATCCTGATTATGATAAATGGATGACTGAAAATGCCTTGGTCATGACGTGGTTGACTAACTCCATGGATCCTGATATTAGTCAAACTTATTTGTTTCTTGATACGGCTCAGGAAATTTGGTATGCCATTAAAGAATATTATTCTGACCTAGGCAATGCTTCTCAAGCTTTTGAACTCAACACCAAGGTAAGAGAGTTACATCAAGAGGGGATGTCTGTTACTGAATACTTTCTTGCTTTAAAAACTCTGTGGCAGGAGTTGGATCTTTATGATGCAGCAGATCTTCAAGGTTTAGAAGCTAATGCAAAGTTTAAGAGTTATTTAGAGAAAAGACGTCTCTATGATTTTCTTGCTGGCCTTAATCGTGATCTTGATGATGTTCGTGGAAGGATATTGGGGTAGAACCCGTTACCTTCCATTGCAGTTGTTTTTTCTATGGTACGACGGGAGGAACTTCGCCGAAAGGTAATGTTGGGAGACAAGAACTCTAAATCCTCCGATGTATCTGCCCTAGTAGCAAAACGTACTCCTCGTCCCCCTAGTGATGCAAAACGTTCTGACCGATGGTGTTCTCATTGCAATAAGAGTGGTCACACTCGCGAAAAATGTTGGGAAATTCATGGAAAACCACCAAACTGGAAAACAAAGGGGCTGAACAAGAGTCGTGCTTATCAAATCTCTTCTGATGATAAGGGTGAGGAGTCTCGTGCCTCTCCAAACTCCGATGGTGTATTCATTCTGAAAGCTCAGTATGAGCAATTCCAGAAGGTGATGTCTCAATCTGCTGAGGCAACTAGTCATGTTGCTCAACAAGGTATGGCATTTCATGTTGATCGTAGTAGTCGTTGGATTCTTGATTCAGGAGCCTCTGATCATATGACAGGTAATGCATCCTTGTTTTGTTCTTATACCCCTTATTATCATCCGTCACGAATAAGGACTGCTGATGGTAGTTTCTCTAATATTGCGGGAAAGGGATCCATTAAGCTCTCTGATCATATTACTCTGAAGTCTGTCCTTCATGTCCCTTCTCTTACTTGTAACCTTATCTCTATTAGTAAACTTTCCTCTGAATTGCATTGTGTTGCTAAATTCTCTGCCAAAACCTGTGTTTTTCAGGAACATGATTCGGGGCTGATGATTGGCAGTGCTAGAGAGGAAGAAGGACTTTACTATTTTGAAGAAGATTCTCATGAAAAGAGAATTTTTGCGAATCACTCTTTTTGTTTATCAGACGATTGTAATGATGTTTTGTTGTGGCATCGTCGTTTAGTACTCCCAAATTTCTTTTATCTTCAAAAGTTGTTTCCAAACTTATTTATCAATAAAAAACCAAGTTCCTTTTTTTGTGATGATTGTCAGTTTGCAAAACACTCTCGTGTTTCTTATTCCCTCAGAGATTATAATGTTTCGTCTCCATTTACATTGATCCATAGTGATATTTGGGGGCCTGCTCGTGAAAAAAATATATCTGGAACTCGTTGGTTTATTACTTTCATTGATGATCATTCTAGAGTATGCTGGGTATATCTTCTAAAGGATAAGTCTGAAGCTGCAGCCACTTTAAAAACTTTCATGCTATGGTACGAACTCAATTCCAGACCTCTATCCAAATCCTGCGAACTGACAACGGTACTGAATATTTTAATTCTGTTCTTGGGGATTACCTAACCAAGCAAGGTATTATCCATCAAAGTTCTTGTCCTAACACCCCGCAACAAAATGGGGTGGCTGAAAGAAAAAATAGGCATCTCATTGAAGTTGCTAGAGCCCTCTTGTTTAGGATGCATGTCCCTAAATACCTGTGGGGGGAGGCTGTATTGACTGCCGCATATTTCATCAATCGGATGCCCTCTCGTGTCCTGAATTTTCATTCTCCCATATCTTGCCTTACCCTTTTTTCCCCTCCTTTCGGGCTTTCTCTTCCCTTCCTCCAAAGTTGTTTGGCTGTGTGGCTTTTGTTCACATTCCTCCAGATCAAAGGTCAAAACTTGATCCTAAGTCTGTTAGATGTGTCTTCATAGGATATCCTCCTAATCAAAAAGGGTACAAATGCTACTCACCTTCTCTTCGAAAGGTCTTTGTTTCTATGGATGTTACCTTTTATGAAACACAATCATTTTTTCCTTCGACTTCTCTTCAGGGGGAGTCTATTGGTGTAAATGAAGACAAGTCTTGGATTCCAAATAATTCTACTGCATTTTTTTTACCCTTGGAAACAAGTGTTGTTTCTTTACCTATGGAGACAGGGGGAGTTAATGTACAGGAGAAAAGGACAACAACTGTACTAGAGATTGGAGATCCTCCCGGTAAATGGGGAAAATTCTACAGTAGGCGTAAATCTCCTCAAGATCCTCTAGACTGCCAGAATTCTGACTCGAGTCCTAGTTCCAGCAATCCACTTGAGAACACCGGTACATCTGACCTAGATATGCCCATTGCCCTTCGAAAAGGTACTAGATCTTGCACTGCTCATCCTATTTCTCATCACATTTCTTATGAAAAGTTATCTCCAGGTTTTCGTGCTTTCAACACTATATTAGACAGTACAAAAATTCCAAAAAATATCCAAGAGGCACTTAATGACCCTAAATGGAGGGATGCAGCTTTTGAAGAAATGGATGCACTTAAGAAAAATGGAACTTGGGAATCCGTGGCACTTCTCAGAGGAAAGAAAACTGTAGGTTGCAAATGGGTGTTCACAATAAAATTTAATGCAGATAACAACATCAACAAATATAAGGCCAGATTGGTTGCCAAAGGATTTACTCAGACTTATGGGATAGACTATCAGGAGACGTTTGCTCCCGTTGCCAAACTTAACTCTATCCGAGTCCTACTATCACTTGCTGCCAACCTTGATTGGCCCTTGCATCAATTGGACGTAAAGAATGCCTTCTTAAATGGGGACTTACATGAGGAAGTTTACATGGATCCACCACCTGGTTTTGAAGAGGGAGATGGTTCAGTATACAAGTTGATGAAGTCTTTTTATGGACTTAAACAATCCCCTAGAGAGTGGTTTGAAAAGTTTACTCGTGCTGTTAAAGAAAGAGGATTTGACCAAGCTCAGACTGATCACACTTTATTTTTTAAACACTCAGATAGTGGCAAAATTGCTATCCTCATTGTTTATGTTGATGACATAATTGTCACTGGTGATGACTGGGAGGAAATAAAATCTTTAAAGGGGGGTTTAGCTAATCAGTTTAAACTGAAGGATCTTGGATCACTCAAATATTTCCCTGGAATGGAAGTTGCTCGTAGCAAGGCGGGAATTTCCTTATCTCAGAAGAAATATATCCTAGACCTGCTACAAGAAACATGTATGCTCGGGTGCAAGCCAGCAGAAACTCCTGTTGAACCCAATATTAAATTGGGAATTGAAGATGGAAAAAATGTTGACAGGGAGCAGTACCAAAGGTTGTTAGGGAAGCTGATCTACTTATCTCACACTCGGCCTGATATTGCATTTGCAGTTAGCATGGTTAGCCAATTCATGCATTCTCCTAAGGAAAAACACCTTAGTGCGGTTTATAGAATCCTCAAGTACCTCAAAAACACCCCTGGTCGAGGAATGCTCTTTAAAAGGGGACACAAGAGGATGATAGAAATCTGTACAGATGCTGATTGGGCTGGCTCTGCAATGGACCGAAGATCCACTTCAGGATATTGTACCTATGTCTGGGGAAATCTTGTGACCTGGAGAAGTAAGAAACAAACTATTGTTGCCAGAAGCAGTGCAGAAGCAGAATTTCGGGCGCTAGCCCATGGCATTTGTGAAGGAATCTGGTTAAGAAGACTCCTTGAAGAGTTAAAGATATCTTATTCTCTACCTGTCAGACTCTATTGTGATAATAAGGCTGCAGTCAGTATTGCTCAAAATCCTGTACATCATGATAGAACCAAACATGTGGAGGTTGATCGTCATTTTATTAAAGAAAAATTGGAGGAGGGTAGTGTATGTTTGTCATATATACCTACCAAGGAGCAAACAACCGACATTCTCACCAAAGGATTACATAAACCCATCTTTGAGGATCTAATTAGCAAGTTGGGGATGATCAATATATATCTCCTAATTTGAGGGGGAGTGTAGAATATTCTAGAGTCTTTTACTTGTTTCTAGCTACTAGTATCTTTGAGTAGTGTGATGCCTCTTCGGTTACTGTGTGTTTTATTTATTACTTCATCTCCTTAACTACCTTGTAATCTGTATAAAAAGAACCCTTTGGGGTGTCAATCAATATATGAAAAAATACATTTCAGTCTTATATTACAATAGTCACAATGGTTAAAGGGATTCATATGGTTATGATACATATGCAAAAAATTTGGCCTAGTTATAAGATGAGAACTAAGCCTGACCACCTACAGGGGTTAATATAGTATGAAATTCAATTGTATTATATGCCAGATGACAAATGTTGAAATTGATTTCTTCAATTTATTTAAGAAACAAGTAAGCTGTCAAAGCATCTAGCTCTTACAGTCTTATCATCCATGATGTAAATCGGGTAACCAACAGTACTTTTCTTGGCCTGTTAATCTTCTGACAACCCTAGATTGTTTTTCTAGGGTTAGAGTGATCCTCCTACACAAGTCTCAGATACTCTCTGAATTAAAGAAGTATCAAATTTGTATTATGCAAAAGTCTCAATTGCATAAGGAGCTTAAAGGATATTTACAACCCAAAGATAAATAAAAATCCTAGGTAAACAAAAATCTAAATAAGTCCTAATTAGTTACATAATCTTAATAAAATATTAATATCCTTAAACTAGATAATTATCAAAGATTAACTCTCAAAAAATAATGAAAGATGTCTGTAACTAAATAACATAATTATCATGAAATCACAAATTAAAACTAACAAAAATTATTCTAATCTAATGTGCATCATTCTCCTCCTCAATAAGAACTCACCTCCTGAGGTTTAAACATTTTGTACTCATCTGAAGAGTTTAAGCAAGAAGAACATTGTATCTCTCCATCTTCAATTAATGGAGAGTGACAAAGAAATCTTGAAGTTTGTGATGAGCACAAAAATCAAGGCTGCAAACAAAGCATGGCAGCGAGATTGAAAGCAGTGTATGGAACATGGAAGCGGGATTGAAATGCTTGCGTACCAGTTCGATGTAGGGTGGGTAACCAAGACTCCAAGTGTACTCCTCTTGGCTAGATACTCCCTTGATAAACCTGGAGTGTTCATCAAGGGTGAAGTGCTCCTCTAACTCAAGCCTTAGATATTCTCTGAATAAAGGAAGTATCAACTTTCAATCGTGCAAAAGTTTTAAAAGTCTCAATTTGATAAGGCACCTAAAGGTATTTATAACCCGAAGATAATAAAAATTCTAGATAAATCCTAATTAGATACATAATCTTAACAAAATATAAATTTCCTTAAACTTGATATTTTATCAAAGATAATATCCCTTAAATTAAGGAAAGATGTCAATATCCTAAAGTACACAATTATCATCAACTCCATACATTAAAAATAACACAAACAATCCTAATCTATATTGCATCAATCTATTTCCAGTATAGATTTTATTCTTTTCTCAAACAGTAGATGTGTTTCTCCCATTTGTTCTCTGGATTGCTTTAGGGTTCTTTGTTGTTTTCTCTGTGCTGAGTATTACAAATAATGAATATTTTGGTTTTTGAACGAAATTGGTTGAATATGGATTGATAGTTTTTGTGTTCATTTTATGGTTTGTTCTTGCAGCTTTTGTTTGTTACATTTAATTATAAATAGAAAATATATGAAGTCCTAAAGTATTTGCTTGTTGTGTAACTATTTCTATTTTAGCTATCTTTGGTGGCTTAAACTTTTATGTCTTTTTTTATTGTTCCTGCAAGCACTTGGACTCAACTGTTATTATTATGTAGCCAAGGTGGAGTTCCCACTTCCCATGTCTCATGTATGTTGAAAATTTTTGCAGTGATTCTGCTGCTACTGAAAATAAAACATTTGCATTAGGCATCGGTGATGGATTTTCTTCATCATCACAGCATGATGGATTGCAGTCTGCATGGATGGGGAATGTGGGTCAAGTATCAATGGCTGACATTGTCAAGAGGGGTAGGCCACAGGCCAAGTCATCCATGCATAACATTTCCATCCACAGTGCTAATCATCAGGGTGTTTTGATGCATCCAGAATTATCAGATTACAATTTGCATTCATTGCAAGTTCATGCTTCTGCAGTTTCAGAGACGAATACTGATCAAGGTGATGCTATTAGCCACAATGTTCCACAGAATGATGAATGGCCTTGTATCGAGAACCAACATGATGTTAGAGTATATGCTGTTGTTGATGCCCATGCAAATTCTGAGTACTATACGAATTCGTCAAGCTTCGGTGAAGCTAATTGGCAGCAGAATGCTCACTTAGATGAACATTTGACTGAAGATGGTTCTGTTGAGAATGCAGACGATGAAGGATCTGCTTCCATATCTATTAGAAGTACATCAGACGATAACACAGGAGGTACATCTGTTTTTTATGGTAGCTTCTATAAGGACATAAATTCTTACCAACTTCACAGGCATCCTTTTCATAATAATGGTGACTAGGATGCTTTACACTTACAGTTCATAGTTGTAAGATAGACATTTGCCTATAAACAGACTCTTAGTCTTAATTATGAATTTCTTCCTTTCAGCTGAAGATGGCGTTTCATCAGTGGCTGCAAACTTAGAGCAGTTAAATTTACAGAGAGATAATCAGGGGACTGAACCAGAGGAGGACAATCCTTCTGTAGTAATTCCGAATCACTTACAACTCCATACTTCAGAATGCTTGAATCTGAGCTTCGGAAGTTTTGGATCTGGAAACAGTGCTCCACTTCCTGGATCTGGGCCATATGCATCTAGGCCCTTGAAAAATAACTTGGAAGATACATCTGGAGTGATGGATGTTTCAACAATTGGATCCTTGGATGCCAGATCCTCAGATGCTAGGTGTGTTGCTAGTACAATGGTAAACTTTGTTGCAAACATGCAATATCGTGATCATTCATAGTTTCCTTAAACATATCTTTCTTGCAGAAATCCTGACTATTATGGCGAGGAGCATATTACTACTACCCAGGATGGAAATTTAGTTCGTGGTACCAGTGCGAGTGCTGTGACCTATGAACATTCTTCCATTTCACAACAAGAGGTTTTAAAACCTGAACCCCCTGAAACTGCTCAGGAAAATCAATATTCATTTCCTTCATCTTCACATGGGTTTACTTATGAAAATGCCCAACAATCAGAGGTCACATTTCCTCATTCACAGACAAGCTCACAGATGCAGAACCTTGCTCCCTTCTCTGGTGTAATGGTAATGCATAGGGTTGTTAGGTTTTGGATGTTATATAGAACATGTTTTATGGCTGGGTCTTATTTTGGATCTTCAATGAATTAAAGTTGGTGCAAACTGACTAATTAGAAATCTTGTAGTGTTAAAACTTTGGGATGACCGGGACTGTGCATTTGTCCATTCCTTACTTGGTAAATCAACCTTGTGTTCTCCCAGTCCTTTGGGTGGGCGTAGTGGGTTTATTATACAAATTAACTTAAATTTGTTGGTCCATTTTTAAATATAAATTTGTCTCCTCTTTGATTTTATACCAGTAAGTAGAAGTAGAGGAAGGCCAAGGAGTACTCTCAGAGAATTGGGAATCTGGGCAGGCATATAAATGCCTTCTCTTGGACGTTTCATCCAGTTTGCTTGGACAATATGTGTGCTTTTATATCACTCCTCTGGTGCTTTACTAAATGAACTTGTTTGAAATGAACCCTACCCTTATTAGTATATAGCTAATTTCTTTCCCCATAAAACAATATTACGGAGACCATCTTCTGTTGCTTTAATGTAGTAATAACAACTTATATATCTCTAGTTTCTGTCTTCTATCTTGTAATTCTATATACTAACCCTGCTATCTACCTCTAAATTTTAGTGTTGACTGTTGATATTTTAGCAGGCATATTCAAATTCTTTGCCCAGTGCTCTGTTGGCTTCGACAGTTCAAACAGCAAGGGAGGCTATCCCATACTCACCCTTCCCTGCAACACAATCAATGCCTGCAAAATATAGCAACATTGCTCCTTCAATTGGCGGTCCCACCATAACCATGTCAGAGGTGCATTTCTGCTCTAGCTTATTTATGTGTCTCTATATACAAGCTTTTGAGAGGAGTATGTTGTATACATGAAACATACTATTCCAGCTTACAGAGTATTTAGAATTTTAGAGCATTCTTAGCCTAAAAAATGTGCAGTGGAATTATAATTATGGCTTATGTTATATTGAAGTGCTGAGTGGTATTCCAATAAATTCTTTTTTACATAATACTTTAGGGTATATCACAAATTTCACCCTGGCTATTATGTTATTAGCTTAATGTTGGCGTAGTGTGTATATTACATACCAACTGTGAACTTTTTGACTACTTTGTGTGTTATTATGCCAGTACTAGTGGTCCAATGATTGATTTCTCCTTTAATGAAATGTTTATAGAGCTAGTCATTGGTGTATTCTGAATTGAGATTGTTGGTTAATGATTACATTTGCAGAGTTAAATGCTGCATCTGTATCTTGAATTTATTGTTATAGGATAGGAAGAAGGAAAACTTGGGAATTCAATTATTTGATAATTTTCCTTGTCATTATGCAGGCTCTCAGAGCTAGCAGCATTTCTACACCTCATCCTAATCCACAAACCATTCCAGGTGCTAATGTTGCCACTGGACCTACACTTCCTCACCACCTAGCTGTGCATCCCTACTCCCAACCTAATCTTCCTTTGGGACACTATACTAATATGATTAGCTATCCATTCTTGCCTCAGAGTTATACCTATATGCCATCAGCTTTTCAGCAGACTTTTGCTGGAAATAGCACAACATATCACCAGTCTCTGGCAGCACTGCTTCCACAATATAAAAATAGTGCTTCTGTCAGCAGCTTGCCTCAGTCTGCTGCTGCTATTCCACCTGGATATGGCTTTGGCGGTTCAACAAACATTCCTGGAGGAAATTTTCCTCTGAATCCACCTGCTGCTCCTACTGGGGCAACCATTGGATATGATGACATAATAAGTTCCCAGTTTAAGGACAACAATCACATGATTTCGCTACAGCAGGTACAAATATCTTGATTTTAAAATGATTTACAGTACTGCCTTTCATTTTATGTAACAATTCTTCACTAAAGAGTTGTGTCAATTTCAAATCATCATGATGATTCTATTTCAAACTGATATGATCTGTTAAATTTTCTTTCATTTATGCTCATTAAAAATCATGGTCCTTTTAAAGGCTAGCTAAAAAATGTTGATCTGGTTCTTGTAGCCAGTAATTAGCTCCGATTTGTAATTTTTTGGGGGGTGGGGGCAAGGAAAAAATATAACTGATAATCTTGTCTCTTCTTTCAATACTGCATATAAGTTAAGCTATTTTGTATTTTCTGCCAGAATGAGAATTCTCCCATGTGGGTTCATGGGCCTGGCTCTCGAACAATGTCTGCAGTTCCTCCGAGCACATATTACAGCTTGCAGGGACAGAATCAACAACCAGGTGGATTTCGGCAAAGGCAGCAGCAGCAGCCTTCACAGCATTTTGGACCCCTTGGGTACCCTAATTTCTACCAATCTCAGACTGGCATTCCTATGGAACATCAACAGCAAAATTCTAGGGAAGCATCCCTGGGAGGTTCGCAAAGCCAACAATCTAAGCAGTCCCAACAAATATGGCAAAACAGCTACTAATCCTAGTCAAGTCCCGGTTTTTCAGGGTCTTGATGTGAAAGTGGCTAATCAGAGGCATTTCCATTGTCTAATAACTAAACTTATCACTGTCTGGTCCGAAGAGACCATGAGCCCATTGCCACGAGGTTGTATTCTACATAAATTATGTTCATCATGTTTAACGTAGGTACAAGTGTGCTAATTTGGTTTACTCAGTACATTTTTTTTTTTAATATTCTCATATCGTTATAGTGGAAAATCTCTTTGGATAATTTTCTCACCTTACACCCCTTGTGCTCATTTTTATTTTGTGATATACATTCGCCAGAAATTGTTCTTCAATTTGAATACACTATTACCCGGATTAGTTAATAATCAGTTTATTTTAGGCCTAACTTGTCATGCCCCCCTTATACTAAATAGTAAACTTTGACTTCCTATTGGAGGTAGTATGGTGATTTTAGGAAATTGTGTTAGTGAATCTCGAGGCATAAGAGGTTTTTGCACATGATTTGGAAGTGTTACGCATTCTAGCCTTTATTTTATAAGCCTCCACATGCAGTTACATAAAAGCGTGATGTTCCTTGTGGTAAAAGAATTGATTGTTTTGCTGTTCGCCGCAATAAGCAAAAATTTTCCTCGAAATGCATTTGTACTAGGTAGGTGAAGTGAATCATTATTACAAATTGAACTCTACGTATTTTCTTTTGTTGTCAAAGATGTAAATATTAAATCGATGTACTCAATCTGGTTTCCCAATGAGAAAAGGAATGGGCAGACTAGCTTTGCTGACGCGGAGGAGTTGGTTAGAACAGAAGCACAACTGTCAACTCCAAGTACAACTCTCTGGTTTTTCTACCTCTAGTGTATTGTTCGTCCTCTATCTCTCTTTTTCTAATCCCCCATGGGCCATGCTTACTGATGTTAGAGAAACATGATTCTACCTCAATAAAATTGCATCCACGTTATTCAGTTAATTTTCCGTCTTACATGTTTTCCTTATAATTGTTACAATTATAAATAAAATCTAATTCTATTCTCAAATTCAAAATGTCTGATTATATTTTTTTAGAGATAGAATATTTTTACTGCCAAATGTTTCTACTACCACTGTAATATAATTATGTATTCTGGAAGTACATTAAAAGCTATTTTCCCCTCTCTTCATAAACTTTTCCAGAGATTATCGGTTGAAAAATAGAATCTAACAGTGACTAGAGTGATAGTAGAAATATTTGATAGTAAGTAGGGGTGCTAAATGAACCAGGGACGAACCTTTGGCCGGCTCGTAAAGGCTTCAGCTTACATGTCTAAAATTGGTGGTTAAAACCAGACTTATAAAAGCTCGTTTAATAAAAAAGCCTCATGCTCTAATTCAAAAGCTCGGTCTTAGAGCCTCTAGGCTAGCCTAATATATTATATACTGACTTTTATTTATATTTTTTTATACTGCTCATAATAACTCTCTCTCCTCAACCTATTTCACCTCATTTTATTGGTTAAACAGACAATGATTTTGTATTATATTATGCTATTTGTATATACATTGAATTTATGAATTTTTGTGGAATTGTTAGTGTTATTGATCGTATATTCTATTTAGATAATTTTTGTTATTTTATTTTTTTAACAGTCTAATTGGTTAAACCAAACTTTTATTTTTTGTAAATAAGCTAGGCCATAGGCTGATAATTATATTTATAAAAGTATCAGGTTAGGCCAGACTGACACATTTAAATACAGACTTAGTCTTTTAAGACCAAAGCTCGACCTGACTCGGCCCATTAACACCCCTAGTAGTAAAAATATCCTACTTCAACTTTTTAACCCATGAAATCAAATAAATTCTTTAGAATTATATAAATCAAAATCTGAAATCCATACACATGCTTTGGAAAAAAAGGAAAAAAAAAATCTTCTCGTTACAATAATCAAGTCATTCTCATATGACTTGGAAAATTTGTAATTGCGCGTGATTCTTTAAAACACACACTTACGAATAATTAAGATTTTAAATAAATATTATTACAAGTACTTATTGAGATTTATAGCATGACATAAACTTACAATGGGATAGCCTCCCCTTTCACTAAATTTTGATCACCCAAAAAAAAAATTTGTTGATAAAAGTTATACTATTTTAGTACTTTATTAATGTCGATATCATTATCAAATGCTGCTAAGACATCAGCTTATCATTCAAAGCATTAACAATATAACCATTTGAAGTCTGAATGCATCTAATTGTATAAGAAACAACGAAATCACCAGAAATAATTGGTCAACTTTTTCAGTTAGAAAGTTAACATAAAAGAAATTCAAAACTTGGTTTTAGATATATGGTTGCTTCCGAAATACATACAAACAAACAGTGCTCCAAATTGAGAATCAATAGTAAATGTCCGGTATTATGATATTTATTGTTGGAGGGAGGTTCGGTGAAACGCTGAGTTTTCAGGAAAATAGGTGTTATCGAAAAGTAGTTGAAATTAAAAGGGTTAGAATAGCTTACAGCAAATTGGAGTCAGACCCCATGGATCCATTCATATCAAAATGTATAAAATCGAGTTACTTCTTAAAGTAGTTGATATAAAGGTAACAAAACACAATAATTAATATATTTTTTTAATGAGGTTAATTATAAAAATAATATATATTATTAACGAGACTTATTAATCTCATGTCGTTGAAGATATCTTGTCTCAGTATCATAGAAATAAACATGTAAGTCCCTTTAGTTTTATTTTTATTTTATAAAAGATGAACCCCACATGCTTATCTCTATGGCATGAAACAAAATATCTCTAACAATATGAGAAAATATTTTTCTATTATTAATATTATACGCTTAATGTTATACAATGTAAGCGGTTGATTTAAATGTTTATAATAAGTAATACAAAAAGAAAAATGCAAAAAGTGAATAATTCTTCTACCATACAGGCAATAAGAGCAACAATGTTGCAGATATTTTAAAATTTATTTATCACAATATTCATTTGAATTTATAAAGATCTAAAAATTACGTACTATTATTATTATTATTTTATAAAAAGGTATTGCGTTCGTATTATAATATTTTTTAAAAAAGCACTTTTTAGGGTAGAAAAAAAAAACTTACTTAGATTTCTAATTTACAAGACGAACGAATATATGAATAACTAATTTTCATTTCCCAAGATTGTCCAAAAGTGCAGTAATATACAAGTCTCTAAAAGACCCGAACACATGAAATAGAGGAAGAAAAGACAATGCAATTGAAAGAGGTAAAAAAATGAGAACTTTCATCAAACTATAAGCGTAACAATTTCTAACTCTTTTATTACCCAAACATGGAAAACTAAGCATGCCCAACAATGGTGAACATATTAAACAAACTTGCCAGATCACCATCTAACGTTTCATTAGAGGAAAATGACAATGCCTAGTGTCAGGGGGATTTGAGCAAAAGGCCTAGTGCAAGAGGAAATGGCAAAACAAAAGAAAGCCATTTCTAAGCTCCCTATTCCTGACATAATTTAATTTTTCAGGTTCCCCTCTCATTGACCAAAGAATTGTACAAGCACACGACACTCTTCATTCCTGAGGCAATCCAGCTTCAATTTCATCCCATTTTTCGCTGTTTGCAGCAAACTTTTCCTTGATTTGCTTAATAAGCTCTTTAGCATCATCAATCTTGGAGGCACCAACAAGCCCATCCACAAGCTTTTTCATTGTTGTGAAATTAGGAACCCATCCTTTGGCCATACTTTCTTTACAAATCTCCAAAGCATACTCAAAATCCCCACCTTGGCAAAGGAAGTGAACCAGGGTAAAATAAACATCAGCATTAGGTAAGTAACCTCTTTTCTTCATATCCCTAAACAACCTCTTGGCCTCTTCAAGGTTTCCTTCTCTACAGAACCCATGAATCAAATGAGAATAGCTAACCAAATTCGGCTTTATCCCTCTGCAAATCATCCCCTCAGACAAAGCCTTTGCCTCAGAAGACCTCTTCAACTTACACAAGCTATGAATCCTAACATTATATGTACTAAGACCAGGATACAACCTATAATTCTCCTCCATCAATTTCAACAACTTCCCCACTTCGTCAAACTTCTCCTCCCTATAAAAACCCTCAAGGGAATTGCAAAGAGTTGTGGCATTGGGTTTAACATTATTCCTATCCATCTCAGCCAAAACTGAATACACAGAGCTAGACGAACCAGACTCAGCAAACGCCTTAATCACTAGGTTATATGTATCAACATTGGGCTGAATCGCGTAAATCTTAGGGAATTCAAGGTAGATTCGTGTTACCTCTTTGTAGTTCTTGGCGAGGAGGGAAGCGAAGAGTAAGGCGTTGAGGGATTTGACGGAGCGAGGGACGTTGAGTTCATCCTCCATGTGCGTGAAGGTGCGGAGCGCGTGGTCGAGCATGTTGGCTTGGCCGTAGAGGACGATGGCGTGCGAGAGGAACCGCTCGTTGCGGAGGTCGGGTCGGGTTTTGAGTTCCTCCAGGTATTGGCGGATTCCGTCGAAGTGGTTTGCGCCGGAGAGCTTGGATACGGCGAGGGAGAAGACGATGCGGTCGAGGTGGGAGGCCGGAGTGAGGGATGCGGCGCGGCAGATTTCGAGGATGCGTTCGGGGTTGGTCTCCGTCTTGAGGAGGTTGAGTGCGCTCCTTGTTTTCTCCTTCGAGGTGAGTGGCGTCGATGAGAGGACCGTCGAGTAGTGGCGGCGGAGACGACGGAGCATAAACATGGCGGCGTCTGAGTAATTAGGGTTTTTCAGCAGAGAAATGAAGGGGACAAGGGGGGGGTTTTAGCAGAGCAGATGAAGGGTTCAGTGAAAATGCGAAAGAAAGTGTGTAAATGTCAAAGTGTGTGGACATTTGTGAAACGTTGCGTTTTAAGTATTTGGGAAATTAGGGGACTTCGGTTGTACATAATAATAAATATGATTTTTAGGAACATGCTGAGTGAATTTTTCATAAATATTATTGAAAAACTATTTGATAGATTAAATTATTTTAGAATAATTTTGATTTATTCTATATTTGATTAATTATTGTTGAAAATATGGGATAATTTTAGGGGAAGGTGCTGTTATAGGAAAACAAAAGATTGTGTTGCAGACACAACATTTTAGGAGAGAGAAAATGGTATAAGGAGAGAGAAAAAACAATAGATGGGACCCACAAAAAACTGTCTCTGCTTGAAAAAATTTCTTTTTCCAATAACAGTAGGGCTTTTTGACCACTGTAGCCCTTTATTAATAATTATTTACCAAATTGCCCTTGATTAGAAATTATTTCGAAAAATTAACCCTTCAAAAAAACATAACACCAATCTGCCCCTGTTTGACCGCTGACCACGAAATCTATCCGGGTACCCCACTCCATACCCGAGTATTTTTTTGAAAAATCAACCCTACTCGTGTATGTAGGTGGGTATCTGGATATTGTTCTTAAATCTGGAAAAATCTTAAATTATTTGCCCGGGTAGGTATGGGGGTACTCGGGTAGATATCGACCAGACATCTTGTGGGATGTGCTGTGTATGGGGGTACCCTATTGTCATATTCCACAAAATAAGCTTTTTTTCCTTTGGAGTTTTGAAGCTTCCTATAGTTTCCTACATAGATAGACCCTTATTTCAGATATTGTTAAAGATTTCATTTTTAGTTTATGGGTTTTAACTTGTGCCAGTTTGGAGATCTGGGTATGCTGCATTTTGGCCTTGACTTCAGCTTCTACAATGGATTAGGCCAGTAACAAATCTAGGTCATGAAATGCTGGATGCTCCTTGATTTCTCTTCTGCTGCAAAAAAAAAGGTTTTGTTTCTGTGAGCTGGGTTTCTTTTTCCCATTGTGAATTTGCTTTTCCTTTTAGTTGGGGGAGGCAGGGATGATGGCGGAGGAGGGGACTTAGTTGGCGGCAGTGTAGGTGATGGCGGAGGAGAGAGGGATGGGGAATGACGAGGGGTTACAGGCACTGCCTGTGGAGGAGAAGGAGGAGGAGCTGTAGATATCGTCAACCCTACCCGGGTATGGAGTGGGGTACCCGGGTAGGTTTCGTGGTCAACAGTCAAACAGGGGCAGATTGGTGTTATATTTTTTTGAAGAGTTAATTTTTTGAAATAGTTTCTAATCGAGGGCAATTTGGTAAATAATTATTAATAAAGGGCTACAGTGATCAAAAAGCCATAACATAGCGATGCATTACCCATAATTTTATAAAAGTAATCTGTATGCTTCAATATAAAGCTTTATGAGTTGCCGGTGGCGTTTCAGCCTTTTTATCCTCCAATAGATTTAATAGCTCCTTTTTGTTTGGACTTCTTGCTAAACATATTCACGGTTGTTACTTGTTACCCTCTTGCCATGGTATCCATGTATTCATCATGTCAGCCTGAACTCTCATTCGATAAGTTCTTGTGAAAATGGTGATGTTAAATACCTTGTTGGCTCAATGAATGATTAATAGCCAAATATTTTAACGAAGCCAAGAAGTTGATTAATCAAAAGTAAATCAATAAGATCAAGCTGAATTGACAAGAGATTAGAGTTGGCGACAGATTTGGGTTTTCTTTGCCCAGCATCCTTTTTCCTTGTTCCGTCCTTCACATGTGTTTGGCGGCACGTGACGGCGGTGGTGTTAAAACTCAACTCTTGGTAAAATATTTCTTCATTCATGCTGAAAATGGTTCCTCCTAGAGGTGTATTTATACAAAATAAATAATAACAACTCAGTAACAAACTAACAAATTCCTAGGATCAGAATATACAGAATTGTAACAGCTTTACTAAGAAACAAATTCCTAAAAATAACTTAGTTAAGATTCTAGAAAATACAACAATATTTCAAACTCAACTTTGAATTTTTCTTTCTGTTTCAACACTCCCCCTCAAGTTGGGGCGTGTATATCCAACATGTCCAACTTGCAAAGTATACTATCATGTGCTTTAACAGAGATTGCTTTGGTTAGACCATCTGTCAGTTGATCTTCAGATTTGATGTAAAGAACATTAATAATTTTTTGATCCACCTTTTCCTTTATAAAATGCCTGTCAACTTCTACATGCTTGGTTCTATCATATTGAACCGGGTTTTGTGCAATTTCAATGGCAGCCTTATTGTCACAGTAAAGGTCCATAGGGCAATTACTTCCTAGTTTTAAATCTTTAAGGACATTCTTAATCCATAGGAGTTCACAAATACCATATGACATACCTTTAAACTCAGCTTCAACACTTGATCTGGCAACCACCTTTTGTTTTTTGCTCCTCCATGTGACTAGATTCCCATCAACAAAGGTTAAATAACCCGAGGTAGACTGCCTTGAAGTCTGATCTCCTGCCCAGTTAGAGTCAGTATATCCTTCTATGCCTTCTTTCTTATTTTTCGAAAAGAGGAGACCTCTTCCGGGTGATTTTTTTAAATATCTCAGGATTCTAAAAACAACCTTCATGTGTTCTTCACTAGGAGAGTGCATAAACCTGCTCACCACTCCTACTGCATAACAAATATCTGGTCTTGTATGAGATAAATAGATAAGTCTTCCCACTAGTCTCTGGTACTTGCTAATATCAGTTTCAATTTGATCTGGGTAAATACCAAGCTTGTGGTTTACATCTATTGGTGTGTCAGCTGGTTTGCATGCTAGCATTCCAGTCTCATATAACAAGTCTAGAACATATTTCCTTTGTGACAAAGCTATTCCTTTTTTGGACCTTGTGACTTCAATGCCCAAGAAGTACTTCAGTTTACCCAAATCTTTCATATCAAATTCAGTGGCTAAGTGTTGTGTAAGAGATTACATCCCCTCCTCCTCATCTCCAGTCAAGATCATATCATCCACATAAACTATGAGAATAGTTATTTTTCCTTCCCCGTGTTTGAAGAATAAAGTGTGGTCTGCATTGCTCTGAGTATATCCATATTTTTTCATTGTTTGAGAAAATCTCCCAAACCAAGCTCTTGGTGACTGCTTCAGACCATATAGTGCCTTTTTTAACTTGCACACTGTATTCTCCTTTGAAGAAGAGAGCTTCACTCCAGGTGGCACATCCATATACAATTCCTCTTCCAATTCTCCATTCAAAAAAGCATTTTTTACATCAAATTGCCTTAATTTCCAGTCTCTGTTTGCAGCCAAAGAAATCAGAATTCGGATTGTGTTTAACTTGGCAACAGGAGCAAATGTCTCTTGGTAATCCACCCCATACTTCTCCCTTAGCCACTAATCTTGCCTTGAATCTATCAATATTCCCATCCGCTCTTAATTTCACATTGAAGACCCACTTGCATCCGATTATTTTCTTATTTTTTTGTGGCTGCACTAGTTCCCATGTATTATTTTTCTGAAGTGCCTCCATTTCAACTTCCATGGCAGCTTTCCACTTAAGATCATGCAACGCTTCCTGCACACTATTCGGAATACATACACTAGATAGTTGATTAATGGTTAGAGCACATGATTCAAAGAGATTTTGGGTAGACACATAGTTACTAATTGGATATTTGGCTTTGACTTTTGGATCTGGTTCATAAAAGGATTTTGGTATACCTTTATTGGTACAGTTAGACCTTCTAACATGAATGGGAGAATGTTGAGGTATAGGAGTTATGGATAAGTCAATTTGCATTTCACTAACCTGTTCAATTTGTGTTTCATGGTGCTGTGAGGATGAGACCCGAGGTGTAGGAATCAGACATGAAGCTTCAGGATGTGCAGAAATATTCGTGGAGCTAGGAGATGGAGTAGAGGCAGCACTTGATGGGAAAGAAGGGGCAGCAATCGTGAGTTTGTCTTGGAGATATATTTCTGCTTCTCCGAATTGATCTAGGACAGTCTCCCCCTGAGAAGGAGAAATGGAATCTCCCCCTGAATAATATGGTGTAGATTCATAGAAAGAAATTTCCAAAGAAACATGCATTTTATGAGAAATAGGATCAAAACACCTATATCCTTTTTGTGAATCAGAGTAGCCTACAAATACATATTTTTTTGCCTTAGGGTCAAGTTTAGACCTAAGGGTTTTAGGGACATGAACATAGGATGTGCAACCAAACATTCTAGGTTCAAGATTTGTGACATGAGGAAGAGAAAAATGGGACTCAAGTATTTGTTGTGGGGTTTTGAAATTAAGGGCACTGGAAGGAGTTCGATTCAAAAGATAAGCAGCGGAAGTTACAGCCTCCCCCCAATAACAGGGATGAACATTCATTTCAAAAAGAGAAGCTCTAACAATTTCCAAAAGTTGACGGTTACATCTCTCCGCCAGACCATTTTGCTGAGGTGTATATGGACAAGTTTGATGTTTTATGCCATGGGAGGATAAAAAATCAGAAAATAGATTGTTCAGGTATTCTGAGCCATTATCAGATTGGAAAATATAGATGGCAGAGGAATATTGATTCAAAACCATAACATGAAATTTTTTAAATGCAGAAAACACTTCACTTTTATGCTTAAGTAAAGTAATCTAGACCATACGAGTGCATTCATCAATAAAGGAGACATAATAATAAGATTTAGAAAATGAGGGAATTTTAGAGGGTCCCCATACATCAAAGTGGATTACTTGAAATGGAACAGAACTTTTATTAAAAGTGGGGAAAAGGGGATACGATGACTCTTGGCCAAAACACAAGTCTTACATTGAAAATCAGCAACATTCAAATTAACAAACAACTGGGGAAACAACTTTTTGAGATAACTAAAGGAGGGATGACCGAGTCTCTTATGCCAAAGCCAAACATCAGTGGAGGAAGAATCCAAACTCGAAACAGAAGATGCAGAAATTGAGGGGAAATTATCACGGATAGAGGAGTCCAAGAGGTATAACTTGCCTTGTCTAATTCCATAACCAAGGATATCGTGATTCTGGTTTCCCTGAAAGAGACAAAATTAGGGTAAAAAATAACCTTGCAATCAAGGTCTGAGGTTAGTTGGCTGACAAAAATAAGGTTGAATTCAAGAGATGGTACAATCAAACAGATTCAAGGGTGATTGTAGGAGATAATTCAATGAAACCTTGACCAGTAATAACTGAGGTTCCTCCATTAGCAGTGGAAATCACATTTTTAGCAGTAAGATTAATATTAGTTAAGGCATGGGGAATACAAACCATGTGATCAGAGGCACTCGTATCAACTATCCAAGTAGTATTGCGAGAAAGTGTAGAAGAAGCATGAGACATACCTAACAGCCCTTCATACACCGCATTGGCAACGGGATGAGAGGAATTAGTGGGCTCAGGAATTGAAGTTGTGGCCAGAGCTTTGAGAGATTTCCTTCGAGGCTTCTTGGAAAAATCCCACCAATCAGGATATCCATTGAGTTTATAGCAACGGGGCTTGGTATGGCCAGTATCCCCACAATACGAACAGAGAAGAGGGGTAGACTTGTTGGGGAATGGTTCTCTGCGGTTTCTGTTGGAAGAAGGGCCAGAGGAAGAACGTCGAACACTGTGATCTGTCGATTGTGTGAGCATAGCAGAGGGTTCCGTTGCAGGGTGTGGGCGACCCATAGTGATGCGTTGATGTTGTCCACGACGCACATAGGCGTAGCTGTCCTCCAAATCCAGCTTGGGGTCTTTGCGAAGGATTTCCCCACGGACGGAATCAAAGTCAGGGTCTAGGCTGCTGAGAAAAATATGGACACGGAGACGAGCCATAGCGGAATGCATCTGAACCACTCCTTGAACCGTGCTTCCTTGAGATGTCAGACAGTAATCGATGTCCTGGAAAATTGAAACCAGGTCGTTGTAGTACACGGACAAGGGGTGTCCATTTTGCTTCATGTTGAAGGACCTCTGGTTCAACTCAAACAAACAAGACTCATCAGACCCGTCGTAGAAGATACGAAGAGCAGCGTCCCAAATTTCCGAGGCTGTCTCCAAGCGAAGAAAACGCTGCATGAGAGAAGGATTCATTGATTCAATCAGCCAACTTTTCACTCTCTTGTTCTCTGTAACCCAACCGGCGTATGCAGGATCGTTCGCGGGTGGCTTTGTCGTTGCTCCGGTGAGATAACCGGATTTATTCCTTGCCCTAATTCTCATGTCCATCAATTGGGACCAAAGAGGGTAGTTGGAATTATCTAAAATTACGGTGACCAGGAACGAGGAGTTATCCTGGTGAATCACAATGTTGGAGGATGGTTGGAATCCGAGGAAGAAATGGCGGTGTTATGGGTGGGAGAACCAGTGTTTTCTCCGTCGACGGCCATTTTAGGGATTGAAGTTTTCGGGTTTGGGAAAAAATGAAAGCGAGTCAGTTTTGTTGAACAAGTTTCGGGTAGAAATAAAAACACACGGGTACGGGTATGGATATATGAAGTGAGAAGGATACGTGGCAGTAAGGAGAAAAAATTGGGGAGGGTTACGTGTTAGTGTTAAACAAACACTAATATGGGTGAAAAAAAACGGCCAGAGATAGAAAAATGATGATGAAAAAATATCCGAGGATCAGAACACTCGTGATACCATGTTAAAACCCAACTCTTGGTAAAATATTTCTTCATTCATGCCGAAAATGGTTCCTCCTAGAGGTGTATTTATACAGAATAAATAATAACAACTCAGTAACAAACTAACAAATTCCTAGGATCAGAATATACAGAATTGTAACAACTTTACTAAGAAACAAATTCCTAAAAATAACTTAGTTAAGATTCTAGAAAATACAACAATATTTCAAACTCAACTTTGAATTTTTCTTTCTGTTTCAACAGGTGGCGGCTGCTTGGGATTGATTGATGGCTGTGGCGGATTTTTCCGAAGAGGAGAAGAACCTTCCTTTGAAGACTATGTTTGATGAAGTCCTAGCAACATGGTGCTGTGAACTGCGACATTGAAAGAAGACAGAGAGAGAGAGACAATGAACAAAGAGACAGAAGAGGGTTTTTGATTGTAGAGAAAGAAGATTGAAATGGGTTTTTGATTGTAGAGAAAGAAGGTTGAAATGGTTGGCCAGTGGTTTGTTCAAAAGTTTTGATTGTTGAATTGAACTTGCATTATGTATTTTGGCAAACAGAGAAAAGAACCAAAAACGAAAGAAGAAGAGATAAGGTTAATTATGTTCAAATTTTTTTGCAAAATATTCCCATCGAGCGGTGGAAATTTAAAAAAGAGAGAAAAGAAGTTAAAGGGATCCACTTACTTTTGTACGAGTGTAGTAGAAATTTATTTTGCAGAAAAAATAGAAATATTAAATTTGTAATTAAAATAACACAGTTCTATGTTATTTAAAAAGGCAAACACTTGTTTATCAAAAAAAAAAAAGACAAACACTTTTTTACAAAAAAAGAAGAAGACAAACACTAGCAAAAAAAATTATGATATTATTATTTAAATAATAAATTATGAAAACATAACATTTTTTAAATGATTTACGAATCTATTGCATTTAGTCATGCTCAAAATGAACGTGACGACTCGCACTAAGATTAGGTGCAATAAAGTGACAATCGTGCCCAATTTAAGGGTGACTCACCCAGTACTGATATGCTGCACAAAAAAGTCAATCAAGAGTTTGACTATAAAATTTCGGAAGGCCATAAATTGACTCGAGTATCTGAATTCAGGTAATTTTTTTATTTCACATAACTTTTCGATATATATGCAATGACATCTCATTCAAGGGGATTTGGTCAAAAAAATTGTTTTTTTTTTTTTAAATTTGAGATATTTTACTGTAAAACTTCGAAAGACTATAACTTTGACCCAAGTGTCAAAATTAGGTGATTTCATTGAAGGGGATTTTTCATTTTATCAGGTGATCAATTCCCCCCTCCCCAAAGTGCTTCTCTGTGTCCCGTTTGACATATTTTATCTTTGTGAATGATGTTATTTAAATTTTACATTTCTAATATTAACAAATATTCCTTCGAGAATTTTTCAATGTGTATATATCAAATAATTATGTGAGATTAAAAAAAAATCTAATTTGGACTTCCGAGTCAAAAATTATGGTATTTCAAAATTTTACGATAAATTTAATCTCTTGGGGTGGCACCATTGTTGCAAATTTTTTGAATTTTTTTTGACCAAATCATCTTCATGAGATATCATTGCGTAGATATCGAAAAGTTATGTGGAATAAAAAAAATTACTTGATTCATACACCCAAATCAAAAGTTATGACTTTCTCAAATTTTACGATTTTTTTTTGTTTTGTTTTTGCCACGTGTCAATAATGGTAGTAACGCTGAGTTGCATCTAAATTGAGCACGACCATGCATCCTATTATACCTAATCTGGCATGAGGGCCATGACCATTTTGAACGTGAGTAAAATAGATCGGTAAATAGTTTCAAGTTTTCGTAATTTTTTACTTAAATAATAATATTTTAATTTTTTGCCGACAAACACTAACCCAAACAAAAATCATGAGACAACAAATACTCAAAAAGTATAAGTGGGAGTGAAGATGGCATTCTGGCAATGTCCATTTGGTTAGTTAGATATGTAGGTCGTTATCAGCAGGGCATCTCGTGTCAGTTACTGTGCACGCGCACAACGTGTCTCTCTTCCTTTATCAATATTCTTTTCGTTTGGAGATTGTGAAGCATCTCCACTCACCACTCATCACTCTCTCCATTTTCCTCTGGTAATTTTTTCTTTTCTTTTCTTTTTTCTGCAATGGTTGTGTTGTTTTGTTTTGCTTTTTGATTTTGACCATAGGAAGCTTCTCTTGTAGAGGTTTTATTGCATTATGAAAGTTCTCTAAAGTTATAAATCACTCAACCTTCCTTCTTTGTTCAAAGAAAATATTTTGTATGACAGTTAGCTTTTGATGCATGTTGATATATAAATGATTTAATATTTATATCCAGCCATCCTTGTGGTTAGAGTTAGACTACTGCTGAAAAATTTTCTTACAACAATCTCCTGCTTTAATTAACTACAATAGCAAAATAAATCACCAGTTCTGTTTAAATTATTTTCATTCACCCTTTGCTGCTTTTTCTTCTTGTTTCAATAAAAATACCTAAATTTAAAATTAAGACCTTTTACCTTCAAATTGTAGCATTAATTTGTTGATTGCCATCAGAAGAAGTTTTTGAAACATCACATTAGTGTAACTTTCTTTTTATATAAGAGTGGTTTTTCCTGTGAAGATCTAACTTATAAGCTCTATGTTGGCTTCATGAAGGGCAGAAAATGAATGATACAAAAGATCAATCACATTCCTCAAGAAAAAAGAAGAAACCAGAAAGCCTTAAAACTAATCATGGCAGTGATCCCAATCCTGGAAATGACCTTTGGACAGATGGACTTATTTGTGCTTTTGAATTTATTCGAGGACAAAAAAGATCAGGTAAATCCAGGTCCTCATCAAAGATCACAGACAGACTACACTTTGATGGACAATATTCAACGATGCATGTCCCTTCAGATGGTTTAATGGAGGCTTCTTCCATGAGACTAGATGAAAACAAGCTCTCACATCCTTCATCTGTAAATGTCTTAAGGGACAATTCGTTTGGTGCGTCCGATGATGACCGAGGGAGACAGGTTCTTCAGTCTGGCCAATCCAATACCCCAGAAAAGTATGTGGGTAGTCATTGGGTACCAATTGGATGGGCAAGAATTTCAGAACTTGTCCAATCAGTTCAGGTTGATGCAGTCTGGTCTTCTAATCAACTTGAATTTGAGGATTGTGAAGATGATATTACTGTAGCAGATTTGGCAGCTCCCTATTGGGAGCGTCCAGCTGGGCCTATATGGTGGTGCCATGTTTCTGCAGATCACCCCACTGTTGAGGCTTGGCTCAGCAATGCTCAATGGCTACATCCTGCTGTTAGTTTAGCTTTGAGAGATGAAAATAGGCTTATAAGTGAGCGAATGAAACACCTTCTCTATGAGGTACACTGCATTTTCAGCATTGTTAATTGCTAGTCTTAATAATATAATCATTTGACATCTATATTTTGATCTAAGTTTGCTAAGAGCATCTACGTGCACACGAAAAGCACATGATGGCATATGTGGCTGTGTATATACAATAATATTTCAAGTTAAGTTCTTCAATTGTATTATGTTTTTGTTGATCGCCTGAATGCTTCAAGGTTTGCGGTGTCCTTGTCATATTTATGTTTGTCATGTATTACTTAGACAAAGTCAGTGACCTGATGGATTTTGTTTTCTCTTCTGAGTTTGCAACTCTTAATAGGAAGACAGCGACAGATGCAATATTCAACGGATTTGGATTAGTGTTTTCTAGGGCAAATTAAGTGTGCAAAACAGGTGAATTGAAGGGTTATTTAGTGAATGTGAGGGAAGGGGGGAATTTAAGGAAAGTGTATACTAGAAGATACAAAAGGAAGGAACAGTTAGTTAGTTAGGGTAGTTAGGCATGTTGGGTTTGAGCTGGAAAGAACAGTTAGTTCTGTTCTGGTAGTTAAATGGGAGAAGCAGTGTACAGAAGAAGCAGTCAGATATTCATTCAGTTGAAGAGTCTTGAAGGCTAAGTTGAGAAGGGAAACCTTGTAAATGAGTTCTCTCCTTCAATTGATTCACAGAGTCAGAAGCTAGATTCTTCATCCCATTCTTTCCTTTCTTATCTCTTAATTTGTGTTTCCCTATATTTCCTCAATTAATCTTGTTCTTCTCACCCTTGAACCCTAACATCGAGGCATCACTCTTTTCACGAGTCAGAATAGGTGAGCAAGGACGCATCAAACAATGAGAAAGGATCATATCTTTATCTTGTTTGGTGCTTGTTAAGGACACGAGCAATTTAATAATTATGTTAGTAAACAAAAAAGTCGTCCCACCTCATACCCCTCAAATTGGGGGGTGAGTGATGGCGGAAGAAAAATAGATGAATTGGATAGAATAGACTCCATTAGGTTTCATTCTATTCACCCTATTTCAAACAATTCAAATAATGGCAACTAATGCCATTCCGTTCCATCCCTTTCCTTCAATTCAAACATAGTCTTAGTGTTTATAGTTTGTGCCTTTTTGAAAGTTTTATAATGATCTTAAGAAATGTTTAAACAATAAGATGAAGATTAAGACAAGGAATCTGCTAATAGTAAATAACATTTGCAACAAGTCAATGATTATCATGTTACTCTTCAAAAATTTTCCATGGACACCAGTCTTACTCATTACTGATTATTAGACTTTACTCTTATATGTAGGTCCCAGTCAGAGTTGCGGAGGGGCTGTTATTTGAGCTCTTGGGACAATCAGCGGGGGATCCTCTTGTTGAAGAAGATGACATTCCGATTGTAGTTAGGTCTTGGCAAGCACAAAACTTCCTAGTAACTGTAATGCATATAAAAGGATCAGTGTCAAGGGTAAATGTTCTGGGTATAACAGAAGTTCAGGTTGTTCTTGCTTGCCATTTCACTTCACTGACCTCTAGTCACTAATTAAAATTCTTATACAAAGATGTAATTCATTTTGTGCTCTGCTTTGGTTAGGAGCTTCTTTCTGCTGGAGGGTACAATGTGCCGAGAACAGTGCATGAAGTTATAGCACAGCTTACATGCCGTCTCTCTCGGTGGGATGATAGGTAATGACAACATTTTTCTTCATATTTGATGTGGGTAATAATTAGGTTGCTCACATATGAAAGTATGAAACAATACATTTGTCGGTCTCATGTCTCTTTCTTTGTTTCTATTCTTCAGTTTAAAATTGTTAACATAAGTTTTTTCTTAGTTATCTTACATTAGATTAAACTGACCTGCTCTTATAACATGGCAAATATTTTCTTACTACATATCATGCTTGAGCAAACTTACATATATGGTTTTGTTCCTGAGAGAGAAAATAAATTGGTTCATATTTGGCATCATATCAATAACTTTGTAGATAGTTGGTAATATGCAAGCTTGTGATTATACATGGATAAGCTAAATTTAGTAATAAAGATAATTTTATTCTTAATTTAGTGCAATGGTTTGCTTGAATGTTGCATGGTCCAGATTTTGTTTGATGTGTACCAGTATATCTTTTTTTCATCCATATGAAAAGAAAATGAACATGAAAGGAAAAATACAAAATACAAAATACAAAATAAAGAAATAAGTATAGAAGGAAGGAATAAGAAAGAAGACAATTGAAAGTAATTCACCAGCTGACTGTTGATTGGAGATGAATTTCTAGAAGACCTGAAAATTTGGTATATGGATTCCTCAAATTAATTGCTTATGCAGTGAAAATCAACCAATTCATCACTTGGCAGGGGAAAAAAAGACAAGTTACTACTAAAAAGCTTGCAATCAAAAAATTGAGAATTTTATAAAAGGCTAAAATACAAGGAACCCCTCCAACTATGGGTCATGTGCAGAAAGCCCCCTGTACTTGAACTCATCAACACATCTCCCTATACTCACCAAATTGTGCATATTACTGTGTATTGGCTCCCTCGTTCATATGTAGAAAACTCCATACAGGGAGTCAATAAGCATGGTTTGGTGAGTTTAGGGAGATGTGTTGGTGAGTTTCAAAGCACAAGGGGATTTTCTGCATATGACTTATAGTTGGAGGGAGTTCCTTGAAATTGTAGCCTTTATAAAACTAATGACAAGCATCCAATCCAAAATATGATAAAAACCACTCCTCATTAAACCCTGACTAGCAGGGTGGGGTGAGGACAATCCTTGTACGCAGCTTTACCCTAGCATACCTGCATAGAGATTGTTTTTTGGATTCGAACCATGACCTTTCAGTCATAAAGGAGCAGCTTTTACCGCTGCTCGAGGTTCGTCCTCTTTTTTTCCAATCCAAAATATGATAATTTTATAAACTATGTGTTATCATTCACTGAGGATCTATTTCACCATCTTTATTTGGCACTACGTTCTTACAACTATATAACTTTTCTCCTCCCTCTTGTTCTTTGTGAATCTACTACTTGAAACTTGAATCTTCTATCTTCATACTAAGATTGTAGTTTATTGATGTAACCCAGAAAATGGGAAACGAGAAAATGAAGATATTCGCACAAAGATATGGGTAGTTTCAATCCAATATAAATTAAGGGAGAATTATCCAGTGTGTTAGTGTTGCGTCTTGGCATTCTTGAAATACTTTCCCAAACCCAAAACTGGTTCTTTTATTTATTTATTTTGAGTTGTCTGGAGCACTGGATACTTTTAAAAACATATACTTATTCTGGAAAAGAAGAAAAATCTTTCAAAATTTGGTTAAGTCTTGCTCTAATTATGTCAAAGATTTGGAATCTTACAACAATCTTAAAACATGCAAAAGATTATAACTCCGTTTGAAAATTATAGATTCAAATGTCTGAGGGTCAGTTAAGTCTGTAAAATATTATGACATTAAATGTTTCGAAAGAAGAGCTATCAAGCATAGGGAAAAATGATTGATTTAATTTCTTGAAAAATGAATTCTTTTTCCGTATTTAATTTTTAATATTATGACATTGTGTTGTCTATCACTCCTAGCTCTGCTGATTTACAAAAAAGGGGGAAAATATGGATTGCTAGATTAGATTTTGATGTGGGTTTTGGTGTTAATTTGTCTTCTTTAGCTTTTTTTACTTTTATGCTCTCGTACTTGATTACATGGGCACATTGGTTCCTCAGGAGCGTCTCTTAGGTAAGTAGCACGCAAAGATGGACATTTTGCCCAATGCTTGCATTGATGTTCAGTGCACCTTTTTTTCCCGACTGCATTTCAATTAAACTTCAAGTCATGTTAATTTGGTTTAACATTTTTGTTTAGTTTTTCAGGTTATTTCGTAAATCTATATTTGGGGCAGCAGATGAGATTGAATTGAAGTTTATGAATAGGTTCTTAAATGTGCATTGTGTGTGAATTCAAGTCATTCCAATTTTGTAAGTTGTCTTCCACTAAGTTGACAGTTTTCCCTTTGACCAGGAGAAACCATGAAGATTTAAATCTTTTTGTCATAATATTAAATCAAGAAATCAGAAAGTTATCAAGACAGGTATGCTCATTCTTGTTAAGCAGAAGATACCTCTTTAGAGGAATTACTAATTTTATTATTTGAGGCTGAAATGCATTTGAAAGGAGAAAACTCAAATATTATTATTTCTCAAGTCAACATGTACAAAGGGTTACATTATATATAGAGACTAATGAGGCTAATGGGTCGAAGGGAATAAATCCAAATCCTATAATAAGGAAACACTTATCTTGCTAATAAAATAAATACAATAATTTACAACAAATTCTTTTTTATGTGATTATTTTCACTCAGTAATAGAGGATAAAACGAGGGTTCAGATTTTTAAATGGTTAGAGGGTTGCAATTCACAGGTTGATCTTTTGGTTGCTGGTTAAATAGTGCATTTTTCACTCATAAAATTAAGTATAATTTTATGAGAGTATACAGGAACTGTATGTCTAAATTAGACCACACAAGGGTATATTTATACTAGTGAGTTTTAATTACAGCCATAGTAACAAGTAATTATCTCTGAAAATTGCTCCTTAATTAGAGGACTAACGTACTTTACACATGCATTATTAAAAAGGTATTTCTATGAATTATTCTGGAAGATTCAAATCCTGAGTAAGACGTATGTGAATTTAGTTTTGATGTTACATCTCTTAATAGAAATTAAGATCAAGAAAGTGGATATAATTGAACTGAAGCTGCAGATCTGTTTGATAAAAAGTTGTTAGTAAACTAAATTCTAATTGCTATTGAGATGTGTGAGTTGACAAAACTAAATTCTTAGGATTGTAAAATGTCCATTGGCTATATTGAGCCACACATAACTGTTTGCACTGAAGTACCTGGTAGTTGTTCATGTGCAGGTGGTCTAAAGTTATCACGCTTGTGAGGGCTGGCAATGAACTGAACCAACTTGAGAGTAGTTTAAGACTCGACTAATTATTTAGCTCGATGGACTTGGTTCATGACCCAAATAAGCTAAACTTGAGCCAAGTACTGCTAGACTCTTTTAGTTAACGAACTGGCTCAATGTATGTGCATGTATATGCGTGTATATATATATAATTGATTAGTTGAGTTGAGTTGAATTATGAACCAGGTTCAAGAGCTAGTTTGGTTGATAATAGAATTTGAAAGCGGAAACCACTTTTTATTTTTATTTGGTGTAACTAAGCCGGATGAAACTTACCCATCAAGGAATTTCACTACCTTAGGACCGTTATAGTTACGGCTGCCTGTCTCATGTTTGATTCATGTAATTCAAACTGGTGACCCAAACCATAGAGTTTTAGAACTTGTTTCGAGCTGTGAGCTACAAAAATTGGTTCATATTGAACTCGAGTTAAGTTTGGTGCTGAACCATTTATTATCAAGTCAAGCCAAACCGAACTTGTTTCCAGCCCTGCGGCCACTTGTCTATAAAAAGGATAACCTGGTGCTATAAAGTTCATGCTCTACACAGGGTCCTGGGAAGGATTTGTCGTAGGCAACCTTATCTTGCATTTGCAAGAGGTTCATTACATAAATTGAACCTTTGACCTGTTCACATAGCAACAACACTAACCATTGTGCCTAGACTCCCCTTCAAACATAATGGGTTTATGATCATTAAAATTTACCAGACTTGTGATAAGGGTCTATTTAGTTGGTTATTTTGATCATTCGCTTTTGAAAATAGCTTTTGAAAAGCACAAGCAACACCAAAGTGAGTTAAATTTTCTGTCTTAGGCTGATTTCTGTTTGTTTAATAACAATTCATGCCGGCCAAGTCCATTGTACAGAGAATCTCCTTACAACTTTTGTGTTTCGATCCAGGTTATCAGAGTGAAGTGGTCACTCCATGCAAGAGATGAAATTGTCTTTGAGCTTCTCCAACATCTGAAAGGAAATGGAGCAAGAAGCTTGTTAGAGGGAATAAAAAAGAGTACTAGGGAAATGATTGATGAGCAAGAAGCAGTTCGTGGCCGCTTGTTTACCATTCAAGATGTTACGCAGAGCACTGTTCGAGCTTGGTTGCAGGTATTAATACCTCTGAACTTTCATTTAGGATGCCTTTTATTTTCAAATAGTAGCTAGAAACAATTGCATATTCCTCGTCCTAGATAAACATGATATTTTTGTCTTGCATCTGCTGAATATCTATCCAGGATAGAAGCCTTAGAGTGACCCATAATTTAGCTGTATTTGGTGGTGTTGGCGTCATCCTCACCATCATTACTGGGTTATTTGGGATCAACGTTGATGGAATACCTGGGGCAGAAAAAACACCATATGCATTTGGTGTCTTCACAGCCATCCTCATCTTTTTAGGAGCAGTGCTGATTGCAGTTGGCCAGGTTTACCTTGGGTTGAAAAAACCTATTGCTGAAGAAAAGGTTGAAGTAAGGATGCTTGAGCTGCAAGAATTGGTGAAGATGTTTAAACATGAAGCTGAGACTCATGCCCAAGTTCGGAAAAGTGTTTCTCGGAGTAACTTACCTCCTACTGCTGGTGATGCTTTCCATAATGATGCGGATTATCTACTCATACAATAAATTGTCCAAGTATGCTTCAACATTGACACCAGTTGGTGGCAATGGGTTGTTGCAAGTCTTAAGTTGAAAAGAGCTTTGGTAAATAAATAAGTTTTTTATATAAATTAAATATTTATATGCCTCAAGTCAATTTTTATTTGGCTTAATCGATGGAAGTTATGCCAACTAAGTATATATATAATAATTTCTCTTGTCTAACACCAAAGTGAAAAATGTGACAAACAAAGCTCAGCATATTTGGTAGATAGTTGGATTCCTTAATCATGCTGACAGGAATTTAATTCCTAGTCATGTGTATGAAAAATGATTTGTTGGGAGAGATTTACTCACTTAATGTGATTTTTCGTCTCGAAAGGATTAGTCTTAAGCTGTCGGCTAGAGGATATCTCAGGAAAAAAAAGAGAATGAAAAAATGTGATACCAGTGAGAGCGTGAGACTTCAAACATTCTAGCTCTACCATGCTAAAATGGGATTTGTAACTTTCTGCTACCTTCATTCTTTAATAAGAACAATATACATTATTGTAAAAAAACATTTGCCAGCTGTTCGAGCTCATCATCAAGCACTATACAAACTCGCAGATTATTGGTTTCAAAATAAAATTAGACGCATGAAATGGTTCATGATAACAAATTTGAATGCGTTACAAGACAAGCAGTTAGAGTACCACCCGTTGTCCACATAAAAGCACATTAAAAAGGTTATAAAGTCACTGAATACAGGACCATAACTTGGTTATTGAACAAACTTCACTACCTTGAAAAATGGGGGAAATTAATGTTGAAGAACTGCTAAGAAGGAATACTTGATCTTAAAAGAAATAACAAGTTTAAATTATTAAGGGCCACGCTAATTTTGTCTAGAAACGATTGCTAAATTTAACCTAGATAAAGATTATCTTATGAATTTTTTTATAAATGATTATTGTTTGTTAATTGGTATGTATTTGTACTTAGTGTATGATTAACAATTGTTAATGAAGTTATATATAAGATTTGTGATGTTAAAAAGAAATTTGAAAATAAATCTCATTCTTGAGTTACGAGTCCTGTTCTAACTATAGCTACTTAGGAGATACAACTTAAAATAATAGCATAAGGGATTGAAATATACCTTTTTTTTTTACTAAGAAAAAATTGTGTTCTTATTACTTTCCTTTGTCAAACCTCGAACCAATAAGGGAAATTAATTCACTTTAATGCATTAAGCAAATATGGAAGGTATACCTTTGAAATCGTATTAAAAAAAGTCATGTGTTAATCAGTTGTAGTCCAAAAATATTTATAACATAAAATAAAAGAGAACAAGAGACTTGGTCTATACCCTACACTTTGTATCAATTTCATGAATATGTTTGGTTTAGATTTTTTTTTTTTTTTTTTGGTAAAAAGATTTTAGTTAATGTTTGAAGAATTAATTTTAAAAGAATTAATATTGAAATAATTTATTTTCTTAAGAATAATATTTTAAAAATTATCCTAAAAGAATTAATTTTATTTGAGTGATAACAAGTAAAATTAATTTTGAATATAAAATAACAACTCACTTTCTATAAAAGACAAGTATGTTGATTGTAAATTTTTTTTATATAAAATTGACAATCCACAAATATAAAACATTATGCAGCAAAGTTAACTTCTTGGTCACGTGATAATCCATACAAATGGTGTACTTGACACAAATCAACAATAAGAGAAGAGATTAATTACCATACAGTATACTCGATCAATTTATATTTTAAAGTCATAACAAAAGGTGAACAAGATTTTTTGAGATGTATATGTGCAATGATGGATGAAATATTTTCATCTTTTAATTTAAACTGTGAGCTTTCTGTAAAACAAAATCTTGTGCAACTATGAGGAGTTAGGCCTGTAGACATGACGACCTATTTATTATCAATTTGAAATCCATTATTAACAATTTTCACGATCTCTGAAACATTAATCAAGGGAGAGTTGTATACTTTTGAAACTTAAGTGGGGATAATATAAATTAAAAATTAGCATGAACTAAAACTGATTTTGACGAAATTTTCTGAAGAACATAGAGTATATGCCATAATGATCTTTAAATATAGTGGGTAATTAAATGAAAAAAATGTCACAAGAAAAAGAGTGCAAAAAAAAAAAAAAACAAAAAAAAACTATATTCGCATGTAAAAAATAATAATCACAGCGCAAGTAACATCATTATACAGGTTCCAGAATGCAATATGCAGGGAGATTCTTAAACGTTTCTAGAAAACGCCAAAAGATAAGTTTCCTCCATTGCCCAATGCCATATGGATCATTTAAGAAGAGATCTTGCAAGATGTTCTCTGGCTGTGGCCAATGCTTGACTTAATGTCTGCAACGGAAAGAAATACAATTATTCTTCAAATAAGTGAGTTTCATTTCAATTTTCTTTTCTGGTATTAAAGTGACGGATGTTAAATACCTGTTCAGACAAAGGAGCTCCAGAATCTATACTATTACTTGCAACTTTCCCAGCTATAACATTTGGATCTGTTTCAAGAACAATACTGCACAAAATATGAAGACATGAAATTTGAGTGAGACTGGGATGGAGAGTCAAGACAAATGTTGACAAGAGGCAAGAAAAAGAGGAGAAAAGTGGCGAGGTGAAAATGAGGGAAAGCCTGAATGAGAGAGGGGGCACACATAAGGAGAACATTGGACGATATACGGGCTAGTAGAAAGGTATATAATGGGGAAGGAGAACGTCAGAGGGATATGTCTGTTCTAGAGAAATGTGATTTATGGTATGATTCTGCTGAAATTCTAGTACAGCGGGACCTATAACTATTGAAATCACAATGGCAGCAACGAGGTGCTATAATTATCATTGTAATGTGCATTTTAGTTCACAGGAAACCTGGAGGAAAAACATTTAAGGAGTAGCATCAAAATTAACTGTATCCAAGATTTAAGCTATGGCGTAATACACTTTTATCAAAACTTCCAAAGAAACATGCATTCAACCTTGTGCTTCATCTAAAACTATTGTTTTGATCTAAATGACATCTTTTCATTTAAGAAAAAGGGAAAATGAAGAGATCATGGATCCAAACCAATCAGGGGTATGTGGTTGGCTTAAAAATGAAAAGAGAACTGATAAAATCGATGTCATCGTATGAAAAATTTAGCAAAAATTTTCAGCAGAAAAATCATGTATTCAAATTCTACTCTGGCTGAGGATAGTGAAAAAAACTTATGCAAGCGACATTTGTTACATCACATTGATCACATTAAATAAGTCCAATGGTACATAATTATTCTAGAGTTAGCAAAAACTTATCTAAGCACAATTGTTATTCAAAAGTATCATGGCGAACTTAGAAAGCTCCAAACTGTGGTATTTATGTTCCTTCCTAGCAGAATAACAGTTCAAATAAGGTGTTTTGTTTTTATGACAAAAATTACAATTGCAATCAATTAACTGCAGAAAAAGAACCGGTCTCTCAAATGTAGAGGCAAGAACAACATGAAGCAAACAAACAAACAGTAGAAGATAAGTTAAATATGAATAACATATAGCATACCCGCCATCAATAATTTCATCAATGCACAAGAGAATGAGATCCAAGTTCTCCAGTGCTTCCTTCTTGTCCACATTGCCTCTGGAGGGGAAAAGTGGGGAAGCCAATAAAATCACCAAGGAATAATGTGTCAATACATATAGATTGATAACACCTTTGAATATGTCATAAGGTTAAATAGTTAAGTTTAAGAAAATAACCTGAGCAGGAGACCCACAGAATCAAAAAATGCCTGCAGAACTGTGGATAAGATAAGCTCGTTTTCATTGTCACCCCCGGTAACAAAGAAGTGAAGATCTTGGACAAACTTGTAAACAACAATGTTACTCTCAAACATTGCTATCTCCGCTGTCAAATGAAAAACCCATAAACACAATAAAAGTGACATCAATATGTTGGCAAAACGAGGACATATACAGAGTAGCGATTAGAAATATATTCAAATCATAGGCAGATATCAACCAAACGTGAAGGTGATTCTTGATCATGAATTATGGCATGGCCATTCACCATACCACAGAGAGGACCTCTTGAGAAGGAAGCACAAGCACTCACCTTCTGTGCGGGCATTGGTCTTCTGAGTCTTGTTGAATACAACTTTCTCAAAAGTCTCCTTTGCACTATTCGTCGGCCAGTCATCGGAGAAATATTTGACCGCCACACGTTTCCCATCAGAATCCAGAAGAAGGATGTTCTTTACAGAAGGGCATGACTCCTAACAAAAAGCACAAAGTACAGGATCAGAACTTTCCTTAAAAGTAAGTATCTCTCATAAAAACACTTCAAAATCTCAATTTTTTTTACAGTAATTTTAAATCAAGGCTTACAAGCAAGTCAAAAAACACATTGTCATATATAGTAAAACATGTTTAACTCTAAATTAAGTCAACCAAGAGAATCATAATGGTCAGGTCCATCTCTAAGTGGCACAGCATAAGCTAAATTGGAATTTCGAAATACCAAATTATGTAGCTTCCAGCTTCACTTTCGTAACCCAAATCCAAAAGAGAAAAAAATAAAATTCCCACAAAGGAAGAGAACAATAAACAATTTTACGAATTAGATCATAAAATCCAATTATAAATAAAGTAATAAAATTAGGTATATGATTATGATCTGAATGATACATACATTATAAGCAGGCGATGGTTTACAGGGTTTAACAGTAAAATAAATCAGCAAAGGCAGATCTGTGTTAACAAAAAATAGAAGAAAATCGGATTCATGCAAAGTTGAAGAGACGAGATCTGAGTATTATGGATTCAGAAAATTGAAAAGAAAAAGAAAAAGAAAAGTGTGAAATTGAAGTCCAGAGAGAGAGAGAGAGAGAGAGAGAGAGAGAGCTTACAACAGATGGGCGAGACATGATGGAGAAACCGTCGGGGGAGAAAGACTGAAGCAAGTTTTTCAACCTCTTTCAACTTAGTTCCCTTTTATTATTATTTTTTTCATTTCTTTTTCTTTTTTATTTTTAATTCGGGAGTGTTGTAATTTATAAAAACTACTTATAGGATTTATAGAGTTCTTAAATTTATATGAAATTTTAAAAATATAAATTAAAAAAAAATCAAAATTATTAGAGAGTTATGCATGATTAATTTCAAAAGTATACATTAAATATTAAAATTATAAATAAAATGTGCATAATAAATTTAAAAGAACTAGAATTTAAATATTCAAAAATAAAAAATGACGTGTGTTATTTTTTAAGAAATAATATACCAAGAGATCAATCAATTCTTAAAAATATATATTCTAATATAAAAGGGTGAATTAGAAAATTTAATATATAATGATATTTTTTTTAATAAAAAAAAAATACTTCTATGAATCAAGGCCAAACAAGTCTAAGACAAAAGATACTTTTATTGAGTTGAATTATAAGAAAGGCTTATTGAGTTGAATTATATGAGAAGAGCCACATTGCTTAATAGATTTGGATTAGGTAACGAAGTATTTTCTTTCCTAATAATAAACACAAGGAAAGATTAGGATGGTTTAGAGAGCTTTTCTCTCGTTTGATAGAGAATTTTTTTTATGCGGGAATCATGATTTTCAGAAATATTATGAGAAAATGAGTTTTCTGATAATATTACCAAAAAGTTATTTAGTAGACTAAAATATTTTCAGAAATATTGAGTTAATTATCTTGATATTATATTTAGTTGCATTAAATTTTTTCTTGCCATTAAAAATCTTAAAATACCTCCTCCTGGATGGTATTTTCAAAAAAAATTACACATAACATAAAATCTCGAAAAAATCAGATTCCCGAAATTTTTTTAAAAATCTTGTACCGTGAGCAAATAGGATTATGACTTTCGGTTTTCCGGAAAACCTAAAATAAATATTGTACCAAACGGCACTAAAGTTGTGTAGGATATAATAAATAGTATTTAAATCAAATTCTACAAAGTAATATGTTTATCATGTCAGAATCAGTAGCTTAATTGGAAATATTTATTATTTACATTGCAAACGCTTAAATTTTTTTGTACTTGGATCTCTATAATTTCAAAATATTTTAATTGTGTCTCTAAATCCAAACAAATTTAAGAGGTTAGATTATTTTTTTTTAAATATAGAAATTGAATTACAGTTTTTCAAATCTTAAGAACTTATTAAAACATTCCAACAAAATAAAAAATAAAAGGGTGAAGACCTGTATGAAACTTGTTATGACGCATTGGAAATGTACAACATGAAGGACATTTTGATGCTGATAGAGGAATTTTTTTTTTTTTTTTGGAGCATAATGTGGATTTTATTTCTGCCATGATAAAATTTATAGGAGCAAAAACAACAGACCTGTATTTGAGGAGGAAAGAGACCTGTATTTCGAGTAGGGTTTGGATGAACTTAACAGCTTCATGACCAACACATTCTATGCTTTCACATAATTTTGCAAACTGTGAATGTTAGGCAAACGAAGAAATGGGTTGCGCACAACATATTGTTATCACTATTCTTGATTTATTTATTCAATCTTGTCTGCTACAAGGCGAATCTTATTCAAAGACTCTTTAAATGCTTGCCAAGAAACCATATAATGATCTTGGGATATCATCCCTTCTTCAACAACTTGCATAGCACGTTTGTACAAATGATCAAAACACTGAACTGGGTTGCTAATATCAACATTATCAGAACTGAGATGAGGTACATACAATCGCTTAAAATCCTTCCTCCATCTTGACAAAATATATTGACATGGAATTTCCTCCACACCATTGTAATTAAGGATATACAAGGCATGTCTGCACAGGTAGCCTTTGAAGTTAAAGCAATTACAAATGCAGCGTACTTCTGCTCCAGCTTTATCATACATGACATCAAACTGCCTAGCATCTCTTGCAGGTTCTTCCCCTAAAGGTTCTTTTACCATGTACGTCACTATAGACCCATTTGTTTGAATTTGTGTGACGCTGAAACAAGAGGACATCATCACCACCTCATCTTGGAACTTCCTGAATATTGTATTTGTATACAATCTAGAGAGCTGCAGCTCATAGTAGCATCTTGTCTTCAGTAATGGGATTGAATTGCATGACTCATAATCATCAAGAGCTTCAGTTTTATGCTTTTTTTGCAGAACTAACTCATAAATCTCAAAAAATTCTTTCAAAGAAGTTTGTTGATGCACATGACCCTTAAAAAAGGGAACCACAGACTCACCCTTTTCATAATCAGAAATTCCAGCAAAAAATGTGTCCTTGGAGTAAACTGGAGCCCAATGCTCTCGTTCCTCATGCAAGGTTTGAAGCTTTTCATGGCTTCTTATTCCAAAATGCTGGGTCAGTTCATCCCAATCCCTTTCAAATTCATCTACTGTTTTAGAGTCAAACATCACTTTAGTCAGCGCCGTCTGAAATGCCTCATAATCCTGAAATTGCACAAAATATCCAAGAATGCTCTGCATGACTTGTGATAGACAAATTCTATGGTGAGCTCTTGGGAAAACCTCTGCTATTGCACTTTGCATGGTTTTGCACTGGTTTGTAATCATAGTTTGTGGAGGGCGACCAGACATACATGTAAGCCATGCCCTAAATAACCACATATATGTTTCAAATGTCTCATCTGCAAGCAGACCACATCCTAGCAAAATAGATTGCCCATGGTGATTAACACCAACAAATGCAACAAGTGGGATCTCATAATTGTTTGACAAACATGTTGAGTCAAATGCAACCACATCACCAAAATAACCATATGCAGCCCTAGATCTAGAGTCAATCCAAAATATGTTTCTCAGTTGTCCATCATCATTCAGATCCATCACATAGAAAAAATTAGGATTCATTAGTTGACTGCGGCAGAAGTAATTTGAAATAAGTTCTGGATCACCTTTTTTAAGTTTCAAACGCCTGGAAAAATTAATGTTGTTGCTACTTCCTCCTTCATTAGAATTTGAGCTTCCATAACCTGATGCATCTACAACTGGCATTCGGTATAACTTGATTGTTCGTACTTCAACATCTACAGTTGGCTCAACTTTTCTTTTGGCCCCAGTGTCAATCTTCTTATGGGATTTAGAGTTTTGTGCTCTCTCAGGATCAAAAGAATGGTTATGCTCAAGCTTGACTTCATCGACCCTCCACATGCTAGATTCCACTAATCTCAATCTAATCATTGCTAGACAGCCTGTTCTTGTTTCTTTCCTATGACTATTTGCTTCTTTAATTGTTTTAAAACCCTCACAGTTGCAACACAGCACAGCACCACGCTTCTCTTTGCTGTTACGTTTGGTCCACGAAGATTTAACACGAATAGCAAATCCAATTTCCTTGGCATAGCTATTGTAATAGTTGTAGGCATCATCATAAGTATCAAACTCCATTCCCACAACTGGTGGGGGGTAGTCTTTCCCTAGAGATTCTCCACTAAGATTATCAACTACTGTTGTTTCATCCCTCCCAATTTCGTGTTCACTTCCATCAATATCAAATAATTGACCACAGTCATTCTCAAGCCCATTGCCGTCATCCTCAACCTCAAGTAGTTGTTCACTGTTTGGAGATCCGTCATCTATCTGGAAAAAGATAAAAGAAAAATTATAATTCAAAAGAAGATCTACAAAATTTGAGTATGCATTGAAAATTGAAATCGACAATAGAGATTGAAATATCGTGACAACAAAGCTCATAGATGGCTTTGCCAGTTGCCAACTTGAAATTTTATTTGCTCCCCATCCCTTTCCCTCTCTCTCACTACATATTATAATTATATATTTGAAGCAATAACTCAGCTACTTTTTCTACACTAGTGTATAGCCCTGATCTTGAGGAATATCCAGAAAGGCATGATATCCGTCTCAGATTTAATGATTTATAATCCACTAATTATTGTCTTCCAGATACCGATAGCTCTAATAATCCTTTTCCCATATATTTATTTATTTATTTCTTCTCTCTTATTTATTTTCCTTTTTCCTCCATCTTACTTTTTATTTGGGTTCATCAACTGCTCACCCCAATTACTTTGGAATAAAAGTGATGTTGATGTTAATCATAGTCCGTTGGCTGCTCAACAAAAAATTCCAATATAATTCTGTAAATTAAGGACTGGCACTCCAAAGCACCTATGACATCCTAACAATAAAAGTGACAGAAATTTGAAGCGATAGACAACATAATTAAAATCCATTAATCATTCTCTTTTATTTTAACAGTGACTACAAGACAGTTGATACACTTCTTTTCTTCCCTCATTTAGCTCACAAGAAATTCACAGCAGTGCCAAAAACTTGTCAGTCCAATGACATTGCACCATTTTCTCAAAACTGGGAGAACCCTTTGAACATAAAGGACAAACAAGAACAAAAGAGTTTCAATAAAAGAAGGATCAAGCCTCAGGTTCTTCAAGACTTACCACAACATGATGTTAGAAACAAAAATCAGGCACCAAATTTAACTGAACTAAATGCCACAGTAATGTATTATAAGTTTTAGATTTCACAGAAAAATTCAGAGCTTAGCATTCATCTTCTTCATTTTTTCTTCCCAATAAAAGAGAATGTCATGGTGAAAGAATCTGAGCAACAGACACACAGACAAAGATGCGCTCTAATCCAACATCAGATTGCATGATTTCAGGGTTTAGTTGAAGATTTACCGTGATGTCGAGATTAGGACTAAGCGACGACAAGTCCTTATCGTTCAGAGAACACAGAGTATTGTCGTTCATGGTCCGGCCAGAGGGTTCATATGTGTTCTGTCAAAGTATGAGATGTTAGCCTTGCCATAATCTCGCATTTCAAGCAATTATTACATTTTAACTCAAATATATCTGAACATAATAATACAACATTATGAGTCTTGGGCTTAACAAAAAAAACAAGTAATTAAATTTTTTCACAGCCTAGTCAAACATCTTCAGAAGTATAGTTAAATGAACACTTGATCAGCATATATGAATTTGACATAGACAAAAATAGTGGATGGTACCGATTATTATCAAAACACTGAATCCTTTACACAATCTTCACAAATTGAAGGGAAAATTAGAATTATTAACAACAGACATATACACCATACCTCGTAGAATCAGGATTTTAAAGTTCACGAATCCTTATAACATGAACAGTTCCTCGTAGAATTAGGATTTTATACATAATCAAATTTGACATTTCAAAATCTACTAATTGAACCAATAGGATTTGAATTCATTCGGACTCAGCTAAATAGGTTTTAGTATTGAGAAAAAAAGTCAACAAATTCTTGAGAAGAAAAAAAATAAAAAAAGTTAAAGAAAATAGAAATGAAGAGAAAATTTGAAAGGAAGATGAGAAGGTGAAAAAAACAAACTCACTCGAGCAAGAGAGGCACGATTGTTGTGGCAAAGAAAGAAAACCTATATATATATATATATATACCCTCGTTTGGTGCAATCATTCAGTTAAGCGAAAATCATGTGAGAGAAGAAAAAGAGCAAGAGTGGAGTTGCAGAAAAGAAATAATCTGCTGTGCATGCGTCCAAACACATCCCTTTCTTCTTCCTCCCTCTTTTTTTTTTTAATTAGATTACGACAACGTGAATATTTTATCCAGTTGTTTCTTTTAATAATTATTTTAAACGAATTTTAGTGCACGAGACTTATTCATTTTTTGTGGGCCCATTACTTTATTTGTGAGAGTGACAGATAAATTTTTTACAATCAATGTAGGAAAGTTAAACATAAAAATAAATGAAAAATGAAAATAAAGTTCAAAAAGTAAGAGAAATAGAAAAGAAAAATAAGAGAAGTGGAACGAGATTGTAATAAATGAAAAAGGAATAAGAGAGGTGTTAGGAAAAAAATAATAGAATATATCATTATTTCCGAATTACACTTTTTTTAGAAAAAGTAAATAGTAGAATAACAAATGTCAGTTATATTTTATAATTAATTTATAAATAAAGTACGAAAGGAGTCAATGCTATTTTTCAATTTATGTGTTAAAAAATGAAATAAAGAAATGTATGAGAGTTCTCTTTATTGGTAACATAGATAAAATTAAGCATATTCTGTATAATTTAATATAATTTTTACAATGTCTTTTGGTCCTCTTTTCCTTTTTTCTTTTTTAAGAAAAAAGTTGTTATAGTCTAAGTTATGCCATAAGCTTTAATAAAGACTTATTTACATATGATCTAAGTCTAACATTGAAGACACCTGCAAGAATTGAACACACAACTTTACTAATATAGATTAATTATTTTGTTCAAAGTTTTTTTTTTTTTTTTTCATTGTTAAAAGTCATGAACCGTCAGTTTGGAAATCTCAACAAAGTAAATGAGCGTCGAAAGTTATAAAAAGCAAGAATTAATGGGTGTGGCAGACATATATAGAAAATTTCTGACCAAAAATATGATAAAACAATTGATATCCTATGAAATTGTCTCATTTCCCTTGATAACTATATATTATAATTGCTGTATTCAAGACATTCCAACAACAGTAGTAAGCGAGAAAAGAAGACATTCAAGAAACAGCATGTCAATTGTTCAACTTTCAAAGGAGTACCATTCCCATGTAAAGATATTTGATTCATTCGTTGTTGCAGAAATAACATGAGAAAAGCTATATAGGGTTTAACCAAAAAAAATCTTCAGCTATACAAGTTATATACATTGTAAAAGGACCAAAGTAAAACAGCGCTAGGTAGAAATATACAAAGTAACATACACTAAACAGTAATGTTTTTGAAGTACATTGAAGATTACTCCTGTCTCTGTTCTACATCATGAACCTTACTCAGTGATTTTTCAAAAACCTGCAACGCTACATTGTAATGGTCTAGAGAAATTATCCCCTCCTCCACAACTTGTAAGGCACTTCTAAATAACTGACTGGACCATTGAATACGGTCAGTATCCTCAGCACTACCAGAGCTGTGATCAGGAACATAAAGGCGCTTGTAATCTTTCTTCCATCGTGAAAGAATGTATTTGTAAGGTATCTCCTCCACCCCATTAAAATTGAGCACACACAGTGCATGCCGACATAAGTATCCATAAAAATTAAAGCAGCTACAGATGCAACGAACTTCACCTGCTGTCCTACTGTAGAGAACTTCAAAATCCCTAATCTCCCGTCTGTTTCCATCGATCAAAACACGCTCCTTGACCAAGAAGATTATGATCGGGCCATCCACATGTAATTGTGTTGTACCAAAACAAGAATACATTTCTTCCACTTCAAATTGGAACTTCATGAATATTTCTCTGGTGTACAATCTAGAGAGCTGCAGTTCAAAAGAACATCTCGTTTTCAGCAAGGGGCTTGAACTTCTTGATTCAATATCAGCAAAAGATTCTTCCTTGTGCTTCTTGTGAAGAGCTAATTCATACTTATCAAGAAACTCCTTCAAAGGAGTCTGTTTGTGCACATATCTATCGAAAAATGGACTAATGGTCTCACTAGGGCGGGCTGCAGACATTCCAGCAAAAAAAGTGTCCTTCAAATATACCGGAGCCCAACGTACTCGATCTTCATATAGAGAACGAAGCCACTCATGGTCACTAACTCCAAAACGCTGAATCATAAATCCCCATGCTGTTTCAAATTCAATCACTTTCAATGTCTCATAAACTGCTTTAATCAGTGCTTTCCGGATCGCATCATAATTGTGCAACCCCCCTAATTTTTCTGGTACTTTTTTCATTATTAATGACAAGCCAAAACGATGTTGAGCTCTAGGAAAAACTTCTACAATTGCACTCTGCAAAGCCTTGCACCTGTCAGTAATAATAGTTTGGGGAGAACGTCCTGACATACATGTAACCCATGCTGTAAACAACCATCTATAAGACTCTGTTGTTTCACCAGCAAGCAGGCCACAGCCTAATAACACTGATTGACCATGGTGATTTATTCCAACAAAAGCTACAAGAGGGATTTCATATTTGTTTGACAAATAAGTGTTGTCAAAATATATAACATCACAAAAATAACCACAAGCAGCCCTGGACCTAGCATCAACCCAGAATGCATTCCTCAAATGCCCTTCATCATTGAAATCCATCAAGTAAAAGAAGTTTGGATTAGTCAACTGCATACGGCATAGGAAATTATAAATGGCTTGTGTGTCACCTTTTTTAAGGTTCAACTTATTAGAAAATTCAGGGAAAGTTATGTCATCTCTTGCACTGAAGTTTGAATTACCACTACCTCCTGCATCTATCACAAGAGCACGGTACAACTTAATTGTTTGCGCCTCAGCATCAGAACTAGGCAACGTCTTCCTTTTGGTTCCAGTTCCCATCTTCTTAACCGATTTGTGTATCTTAGCACCTAACATGTGGTTATGTTCACTTGTAACCTCAAGTATCCTCCATCTTTGAGAATCCATTAACCTCATCCTTATCATCGCAGGACAACCAGTTCTTGTCTCTTTTCTCAAATGGTTAACATCTTTTATTCTTTTGAAACCCTGGCTGCTACAGCAAAGCACTGCACCATATTTTTCTCTGCTATTTCGCTTAAACCATGAATTCTTCACCCTTACACGAAACCCCACCTCCTTGGCATAGCAGATATAATAATTGTAAGCATCATCATATGACTCAAACTCCATTCCAACAGCAGGTGCAACAAATTCCTTTCTCTCTTCAGAAAAACCATTTTGACAATCTAATTCAATTAGTGCACCATCTTCTTCTTTCCGAACCTCAATGCATTCCCCATCTGGCAATTGTTCGCAGCAAACAGAGGTCTCTTCCATCTAGCATATTGTCAAACAAAATCAATAAGCTAACTCTAATAAAAAATATTTGAATACTAAGCCTTTGACATATGAAGCCAGCAATAGAATTTTCAATCATATATCAGGTGCTTAATCTCTTAAATGACTTTATATCTCACGCTAGGCTGTCAGTAGCGGCCCGTAGCGCTATGCGACATTGGCCGTAGCGGAAGGTAGCAGCGTAGCGTAGCAGCAATACCTCTACCCGCTACACCACTCCCATGTTGGAATTTGATGGAGAATCCGAAGATGATGACGATTTTCTTTTTTAGTTCACTTCTTGTACTTGGCTATTTGACAATTTTATTGTTCAGTTGTGTTTAATTTTGGATCCTTCCTTTATGTTCCTTGTATTTGACATTGATTGTGGAATTATGTGTTTGATTTTGTGTGACTTCTTATGTTTGAGCATTAATACTAAAAGCAGTATTGCCTTGTTTCTTGACTGTTAGTATAATATATGTGGAATTAATACTTCACCGTAGCGGTAATACCGCTACCCGCTACACCGCTATACCATTTTTGGGGTCGGCCGCTACTGGCCGCTAACTGCTATTGACAACTATGATCGCACGCGAGGTAGCACAAAAGCTGTTAAGTTTCTCTACTGTTATTTTTTAAATGCAACCCAATTTGACTTTGAGATAGGAGCTCAAGCAGGAAGCTTTTTGAGTATCTTCAAGAGACATTTCATCTGGCCAGAGCATGCAGCTCAACTGGCACTGACCCCCGTCTCTAAGCTTGGGGTGTAATGATGAAGTTAGAGGTTCAATCTTCCACTAGGCCACCTATCCCCTTCCCCCACCCACGTGATTGCACCTCCCCATCTACTAAAACAAAAACCCACAAATTGAATACAATAAGTTAAAATATTTTTCATTTTTACTTAACATTAACACCAATGGCAACATTATTTCTGCTTAACGCTACATGCATCAGTAATTGAAGCATCATTGCACCCTGAAAGATGATTCATATGATGTCCGACAAAGTATAACAACAACCTACATACAATGGCACCTAAGTTCACTCAACAATGCAGATGACATAAAAAATATATCAGCTAATGGCAAGGCAACAACTACAAATCAACATGTCCCTTAGTAATTGTTAGAATATATTAAATATGATTAGATATGATTAGTCTGTAATTAATATTAGTAATATCTACACAACAGCTAATGACATAAAAAATATATCATTTAAGTTTGGATACTACAACTGACAGTCTGAACATGTGCGCAGACATGAGAAATCAAATCACAAATCTTTTTTAATGATTTTTCAAATAAGAAAAGAAAGATGTACACTAGGCAGGGAATAGGAAATAACATGTCCCTGAGTAATATCTACACAACATCTATATTGAGAAATGATTGTTACACATCCCATGGAGGGTGTTCAAAATCTGGAATTTTCAAATTAAGCTTACGTCGGATCCATTTTTGTTTCCAGGTGATTACAGAGGAGGCACGAGGAGTGAGAGTGTGCATGTCCTATGTAACAGAACTCTTAACACATTTAAGCTCGGGCATTCTAGTCTCAACCTTTCTCACCTGTGTATGGTCATATTCTAAAAACCTAACATCTTTTGATGTACAGCAGTAATATCTCTTTTTATTATTAGCCTTTGTATTTTTTTATTTTTTTAAAACATATAAGAATGATTAACCTTTTGATCAGTTAAATAAGAGAACACCCACATACATGTATTTATGTATTTACATATACTATAAGAAAAGGACATTTGGAAGAAAAAAGGGACAGTAAATCTGGTGGAGAATGAAAAAACCTGAAAAAGCAAAAGGAGAACACGAAGTCAAAGTGGCCAAAAAAATGCAACAAAGTTGTTCAATCTTTTTGCATATCAGACTGTCTCTAATGGAGATTCCCTGAGAACAACCATGAGCAGAGCACCCGAGAATTGAATCTTATCCACAACAAATCTAAGGGCAAATCTTCAACCAAATACAGCAGAGAACTGCACAAACCATACAAATTCACATCAAAATCTTAACAAAAATTAATGTTTAGTCTCCATGAAATTGCAGGAGCCGAGCTTCTTGGAAACGCATAATTCTTTTTCCTTTTTTTTTCTACATAGGAAAAGAACTTAATTCGAAAGAGTAGAGAAAATAGTACACAGAACGTCAAAGGTGGAAATAAATAAATAAATAAATAAAAGCAGCAAAGTTTCCCAATATCTGAAACCCTAGCGTTAAAGTAACCATTGGCAAAACATGAAATATAGACAATAGTATCCCATAATCATCTAACAGTGAGAGTAAATTGATACTGAATATAAAATGATCATTCCTATTTGTTTGAACTGTGAAAATTGAGATTGAGATTGAGAGATAAATAATTACCCACCGACACGACACGACACGACACCGTGTTTCTCTTCTTCTCAATCGGACTCCGACAACATGCTCTGCTCTCACCTTCACATATCCTCGCCTCCATGCCAATATGTACTCCGTTTCTTCTACATTTCTTACGGTACGTTCCAACCAAATATTTTTATTTAATATTTTATGGGAAAAACTATTTTTATGCTACATGCTATATGTGATAAATTTCTCTATTACGCACTCTTCGACATTTGTGCCACATTTTTTTTCAGGTGGTGGAGCTCACAAATTTATCTCTATGATATCAGATAACTTATCTCATTTAACATGAGATTAATTAAGGGAAAAAATATACTTACCACCAAAAAAGTTTACAACCTTTAGAACCAATTTAATCGCCATTGATTTTCGTCAATCTAACGGTTATAATTTATTGAAAATTATTGGGTCATATTTATTAATAATTATTAATTTTCAATAAATTATAACCGTTAGATTGACGGAAATCAACGGTGATTAGATTGGTTGTAAATGTTGTAAAAAATTTTGGTGGTAAGTATATCCTGCCTGATTAATAAAACTCATATTTTATTTTACCAAATATAAAATTTTGATTTAATATATCAGATATTATGCTTTTCGGTGGCTAGGGGTGTAAATGGGCCAAGCTGGCCTGGCCTAGCCTACTGCCCGGCCTACGTTGAAAAGTAAAGTATGGTTAGGTTTATAAGAAAGCATTTTTAACAAATAGGTCGTAGGCCAATTTTGTCAAGCCTGACCTATTTAATTTTTAAAAAAGAAATAAAATAATATATTTATTTTAGGTGGTAATTAGTACCAACTCTTGTCTTGATGGTGGTTTAAAGATATTTCAATGAATGATATTATCTTGTAGATTTTATTTCAGCTTTGGTTGACTTATTAATTGTTTTTTTTTATTTTCCCATTTCTTTGAATGATATACATTATAAAGCTGGAATATTATGTTGACTCTTTCTTGTTTGTCATTTTTTATTTCTTATGAGAAGTACTAGTGCATGCATGAATGAAACTTTGTTCAATATATTTTTTTAGTTATTTTTTTTATTATTGTAAAAATTTTAATGCTCACTAGTGAAATTTATATTTCGTGTAAAAAAATGCAGCAATTTATGAACACGTTAATGACTTGTAATGTTAAGCGAATATTTTAAAAATTGTTATTTATTTTTTTTTTGAAATTTTTAAAAATATATCACGAGGGAGGCCTACAAAGCCTTTAGGCCATATCAGGCTCTCTAATTTTTTAAAATAGGCCAGGTTTGGCCTATAAATGAAGCCTTTAATAGGTCAGTAGGCCAGATAGGCTGAATATTTTTTTACGTAGGCTTAGGCCAAGAAGATCAAAGCCCAGCCCAACCCAGCCCATTTACACCCATACCGGTGGCGGGAGAGTAAAAAAAATTTCAGCACAAATTTATTTTCTGTGCCAATTAAATTTTTTTTAATATAAAATATAGAACCCACATTTAATTTGTCTCTACTTTTGTTCTCTCATGTTTTCATGTAACATAAGAAAAGTTGAACCCTATTAATATATGAGGAAGATTATACTTACAACTTTTTTTTTACAATCTCTTACAATCATATCTTAACACCGTTAATTTTTGCCAATCAATGGTTATCATTTATTGTGAATTAATAATTAATTAATGAGTTTAATTTGCTAAAATCATAACCGTTGATTGGCGAAAATCAACGGTGTTAAGATATGGTTGTAAGAGATTGTAAAAAAAAAGTTGTAAGTGTAACCTTCCTCTTAATATATTTAGTTTAGCCGTTTAAGATTTACCGTTTATCTTTCACACATACATATAAAATTATTTACATGTATCTCACCATGTCATTTTGGAGTGTGAGAATAAATACATTTCTCTTCATCTCAAAATCACTTTGTGTTGGGATCACGAGAGATAATTGATTGGATCTTATTATAAAATAAAGAGAAAGAAATAGTGGAAGAAAACTGAAGAAAGAAAACATATGAAAATTTAAGAAAAAATTCCGGGAAAAGCATAGAAATATCACTTAACTGATGAATTTTTCATGTAAGATCTTTCATATAAGTCTTGTTCTTGTATAAGACATTCTATATGAATAAGGGAATAAATACACTTCAATACATAATTAGTATAGTGGTTATATGGTATATCAAAAGTAAAGGAAAATTAAATATTCATACACACATCATAAGTCATATGAAAACCTAAAAGGTCATCCACGTATTAAAATATATATTTTACAACACTTTCTTTTAGATGACTTTAGACTATGGATATGCTTTGTTAAAACATTGCTATAAAAATCGAATGGAATAAAAACTTAGCGAAGGAAAAAAAAAGTATAATATTTATAATTAACATGTAATCTTTTGTTATATGCTAACTTAGACTATCTCATTAAAAACTCTTCCAAGAAAAATCTAGTGAGATAAAAATTTGGTAAAGAGAAAAAGAGTGCAATACTTACAACTCCCCCTAAATTAAGCCATATAACTATTCTTGGAGCTAAGGAAGTGAAGCAACACTTACAAATTTTCATGATAGTTATCTCGTAATATTTCCCCATAATAAAGTGTAGTAATGTCCATTCAATTGGATGGTATTGGTAACATTCATCTGTAACACTTCCCATTGGACATTATTGCATTAAGTTCATGCCTTGTTAAAACCTTGTTGGAAAACCCAATGGCCAAAAACTAGCGAAGGAAAAAAGAGTTCATGACATACACTATCAAAACATTGCACAAATTGTCTCATTAAAACCTTTGGCCAAGAAAAACCCTTTCGAAAAAAAAATATTGGCAAAGGAAAAAAGAGTACAATAATAAACCTTCAGGAATTTTCAAATAAATATCACCGTGAAATGACCTACAATTCATTAAAAGCATCTAAAGATGAATTCTAGTTGCCATATTGATCAAGTAATAGAACCTAATAAAATCCAATATAGGAGAATAAGAAACATCATAATTGATGTCGGGTCTCCTAAATGCTTTTGACATTCTTGAATGATTTTAGATTCTGGATCCAGATTATCACTTGAGACAACAAGAATATTGGACTTAGCTACTCATTTGTAATTAGTAAATACATTTGGCATTTGTCTTGCTAAAGTTTGCAAGTTAATGATATTTTTGAACTTCAAGTTCAATTATACTTGTATGTTGAGAAAGATAATTTATTTGATTTTTCTTTCAGAATAATTTCCCAAGATTCACTATGCTTCTGACTTTCTCCTCCTAATGTCGAGAAATGTCCCTCATTAAATATATAATTAGTGAATTGGGTAGTGAACAAGTCACCCATAAGGGACCCAACTACTTGATTATATACGAAGCATAAAAAACTCACGTAAATATGACCTTCTTTAAGACCCCATTTTTGGACATAGAGGAGCTGGGTGGTATGGGGACATATATAGTATAACCAAAAATACGTAGATGGGAAACATCAGGTTCACATTCACGTACAAGTCGAAGAGGGGAGTGTGCTTAAAAGCATCTCGGCTAGTGAATTTCAGGTTCATGATCATTTTTAAAAGCAGTAACATATACTAAATCATTACTTCATATTTTACTCTTATATTTCTAGAGTTTATATGGTTGTTATAATTTTTCTATACTTGAACCATTCTTGGGGTCACTTTTTCTAAAAATATGAAATCGATAGTCTATCATTGACCTCTTCAAGAGTGTCACTTTGAAATTTTATTTCCTTTCATCAAGGAACAAAATTGTTTGTATATTTTATATTTATTAGTCATTATATTCACATCTTGTTCTTCAGGAATAATTAATTTCAAAAAAATATTTGTAATGGTTTGCAATATTTTGCAAATCAATTATTGTTTGAACTTCAATTTCACAATCTTTTGGGCGTATAACTAGATGGATAATTCATTAAATTGATTCATCTAAATAAATAATTAGCTTTTCTAGAGCTATTGCAAATATTGTTGTAGACATGCCCACGATAATAGTTATGCCCACGACCACATCCACGATTATGTAATTGTATTGCATTCACTTCAAGAAATGACAAAGAACTAATTGGTAGCAGTTAGGAATTTGTCATCAAATATGACCATAATTTTTATCATGTCTAAAATTATAATTTGGAATATTCACTTCAGGGAATGGAGTTTAACTCGTTGACCAAACTCTTGAGCCTTTTGTCTTGGATATGACTACTTCTGGAGCATATTCAAGAGGCATAAAATATAAAGAATATTTTCTCCCTATATTTTATTTCAAATTATTCAACAAATCTATAAGATCTTTTTAATCATGGTATAAAGTTATAGTTTTTCAGGAATTAAACCACATATATTCATAAAAATGATAACCAAGAAAAATCATTGGCTTTGTGTATTCCTTTTGGGATATATAAAATATAACTTCTTCAGGAAGTTAATTAACAAACTCAATATAAGACAGAATATGTTTGTCCATATATTCAACAATAAAATCACCATAAATGAAATATAAAAATAATAGTTATACTAAAAATATCATGAAGAAAAAAAAGAGAGCAACGAATCAATTTAAAACAAAATGATAAGAAATATTAATCTAAGGGATAAGATATTATGTCTTCCTTTTTTTTTCATGCCTACTCTACCTACTTATTTCTAACACCATTGGATCAAAATATCAAGAGGAGAGAGAATTGGTGAAAGTTAGTTAAGATCTAACGATGTTGAGATGAGTAAATAAGGTAGGCATGAAAAAAGGTAGATAGAATATCATATCCTTAATCTAACTATGTATTTGTTACTTTAGGAGCAATAACTGACTAAGGTATTATTTGCCTTAGAAATGGTTATGGCAATAGGAGTAATTTTCATGGCATAAGATTAAACATACCTATCCTTATTTTTATTTTTATTTAGCCACTTTCGTTTGACTTCTTTCCTTTATTATGATTTGACCAAATGTAAGATTTTCTACCATTCCTTCAAGAGTTATATCATTGTCTGCACTCATAGCCCTGAAAATGGCTATAAATTTTTATAGAGTTGGCATTTGCTTTAGCAATACTTTTGAAGTCGTTCATTGACTTTGCTTTTGAATCAATAAGTTCAGAATTATAATT